ATCGCCACCACGGAAGACTACTTTGCAGATCTTTCAACAAACGTTTTTACAAGCGGAACAAAGACGTTGGATCATCGCTGGGTCAAGTTGATCGAGCTAAAAGAAGGCTATGGTGGATAATAAATTGTAATTTTTCAAAATTTTGGTCTCTTTACTTATTGGACAGCCCTTGTACTAAACGTACAAAGAGTGCTAAATTCTAAATCCTCCAACAAAGGGATTCCAAATGGCAAATAGATTTTATGAGTAGCTTCTTCAGGTCGAAAATACGTTCAGTCTTAGTTAGTAGAAGGCTTGAATCATTTTCAATTGGAATTGCATCGGTTATGCATACCTTATCAAGAAATTAGTTTGCTATCGACGGCACCTCGCGGAATCTTCAACAAGCAAAGATAAAGAGGTTTAAGGGGATAAAGTGGTAATTACCATAGTATGGTGTATTGCGGTGTATACTTTTGCAACATGTTACTACAGAATATAATATACTCTATATAAAGCTAACTGGGTCGGCTTCACAAAATTTACTGAGAGTACCTTCAACGCACTACCCATTCCTACGAATGTCATCGTTGACGAGCGCCAATTCCGCAAGGTGATCGCTGCTGCTACTGCTCGCTTCATACCGGCTGGAAGAATCGCAGAACTCCGCTATAATTTCCCAGCCGAAGCAGCTGTATTAGCAAACGAGCGTGACACCTTACGCCATGCCGCTCCCTGTGATCCCCGAATAAGGGATCTCAATTTGGGTATTCGGCAAACGGTAAATCAACATAAGCGGACAAAATGGATGCAGCACCTGAGTCCTGAAATCTCTTCACCGGTGTGAGTAAGCTTTGGACTACTATCAAGGCCTTGTCTATCCGAGGCGACATGACGACCGGATTGAAATTCAATTCGATGGCCATGCCTCCTCGGATCCGAAGAAGTGCGCGAGCTATTTTAGCCCTTCGACTGCGACTTTCACCAATGGGGAGGTTCAGAGAGTCATCAAAAAGGTCAAATCCATTGACCTTGACGGAATAAGCATGCTGACGCTAAAACATCTATTCTGGACGGGAGTAAGCAAGGGCCTCAACTTGTCGATGTCCACTCTTTACCCAATACTCAATGTGTGGAAAGTCGGAAGAATGGCCCCACTACTGAAACCTGGGAAACCCGCCAACAAAGGGGAGTCTTATCGCCCGATAACTCTCACACTAGGGGCCTTGCTACTCTCGACATTCACTCACCACCTGAGTCTAGCAGACCATCAGCATGGCTTCCGAAAAGTGCACAGCACTTAGCGTCATAAACTCCCATATAGTTCATGGCCTAAAAGAGAAGCCACCCTGCGAGAGGCCGATCCTCGTAGCGTTGGATTTGTCAAAAGCTTTTGACACAGTCAATCACACAACGCTACTTGAGGACCTAGAATAATCAATGCTCCCTCCAGGGCTGAAGCGGTGGACTATGAACTACCTGAGCGGTCGGCATTCATCCGTACTGTTTTGAGGGCAAAACTCCAAACTTAGAAGAATTAAACATGTAGTTCCGCGTTGTGGTGTCCTCTCCCCTCTACTGTTTAATTTCTACATCTCGAAACTCCCCCAACCACCAAAGGGAATTTCCGTGACCTCGTACGCTGATGACTGCACGATATTGACGTCCGGCAATGGAATCGATGACATGCGCTCGAAAGTAAACAGCTTCCTCTCCGACCTTTCTCACGTCCTCTCTGCAAGGAGTCTGACAGTCTCCCCTCTAAATCCACTGCGACCATTTTCACAAACTGGACGAGGGAGTACAGACTTGATCTGAACATTTTAGTCGATGGCATAAAAATTCCGACAGTCCATAACCCTAAAATTTTAGGCGTTACATAAGACAGTCTGTGCTCCTTCACTCCTCAAAGACTGCGATAACTGCCAAAGTACAGAGCTGCAACAAAATCAACAAATCGCTTGCCGGCTGCTCTTGGGGAAAAGACAAAGAAACGTTGTTGGCAACATACAAGGCAATCGGCCGGCCGGTCCTAAACTATGCATCACCAATATGGTCGCCTGGATGTAGTGCAACGCAGACGAAGAAGCTTCAGACTTGTCAAAACACTGCACTCTGGACTATCACGGGATGCCTCTTAATGTCAGTGAGGCCCTTATGCTTCCGGTTAAGGAACATAATGAGCTCCTCTCCAAGCAGTTTCTGCAACCGTCTGCTTAAAGCGGAAGCGCCTCCTAGGAACATCAAGCGGTCCTTGCTTGATTATGTCGACGACATCAGATAGTACGCCGACCGGACTTCGGACGCAACGAACTACAGACAAGCACTGACCGTCATTCACAGTGGAGCCATTAACACCTTCATCGACTCCCTCTCAGTAAATGGCGTACTAGGAGTCAAACCACCACCCATAGCAGACATAGAGCTCGAGTTGCCTCGCCAAACCAGAGTGACCCTCGCGCAACTTCGTTCTGGTTATTGTATCAGGTTAAACTCCTACTTATCCAGAATAGACCAAGACATTCCAAACATATGTCCTACGTGAAATGAGTCTCCGCATGATATTAACCACCTCTTTGCATGCCCAACAAACCCAACTCATCTAACACCCTTTTCTCTATGATACCCCTGCCGAAACAGCCTGTTTCTTGGGCCTCCCGTTAGATGACCTCGACGACAACCAAAATATAACTTATCAACCAAGCGCGGACTAGATAACTGTTACAACAACAACAACAGAGTATAATGGTTTAGTTCACCCAGCGGTTGTTTGTATCACCTCATAGTAATCGAGTTAGATATGAGATTAGATATACATAAATAGTCAGACGAGCTGAAATCCAGGTGAATGTCTGCCCGTCCGTCTGTACAAGCTGTAACTTGAGTAAAAATTAGATATTTTAGTGAAACTTGGTACACATGTTTCTTAGCACCATAAGAAGTCCGTAATCGGACCGCTGCCACGCCCACAAACGCTATTGATCGAGAACAAAGGTGCATACTAAAAGTGTCATAACCCAATAAATAAACAAGTCAAAGACTTTGAATTTTACTTAAAGGATAGTACAATTAAGCTTTATAGGAGCGAATACAAAATATTTGTCGATGGGCATGACACCGCCCACCTTTGAGTAAAAACGAATATCTCGGGATCTACTTTCAACCAAACTTGGTAAGTGACATGTGTATGCTACGGTGCAAAAATGGGCGAAATCGGATTACAACCACGCCTACTGCGCATATAACACGAATTAAAATTCCATCTAATTCTTTCACTTTCCAGTATACTTGTACAATTCAAGTGCTAATGAATATATTGAAATAAAACTTTGCAAAAACAGTGCCTTTAAGATATGCCATTTCAAGTCTAAATATTGTTAAAATCGAGTCATAACTGTTCAAGCCACCCTATACCGAAAATGTAGACCCCAGTGTCCATGGTTGACTTATTACCGACAATATCGTTAAAGTGTGAGACATAAATATAATTGAAATTTGGAGAATCCTTTCGTGATAATATTATGTCTGTATGTCAAAAATGGAATGAAGCGGATCAATACTTCTCTTAGCCTCCATATACCGAATAAAAAGATTTTCGAACTTCGATATATAACGGTAGCCGGCTTTGATCTTTGCAAGTTGCAAGAGTATAAAATGTTGTTACAACCTTAATTGTTTTAAATTAATTTTCTACAGTATACAGGCAAAATTGCGACTTCATTTCTCGGAGCAACTCGAACTACCAAAATTAATGTTAATACAGGTTGCGTGGCAATTAGATTTTAGTTGAGACAATTCGGTATTTTAAGACGGCCATTATATGATATATGATAGTAATTGTAACAGCCAGAAGGAGACGTCGAAGACTCTATCAAATATTGTATGTATATTTAAATAATCAGCGTGAAGGACCGAGTCGATTTCGCCATGTCCATCTGTCTGTTTATATGCGAACTAGTCCTTCAATTTTTGACATATTGATCTGAAATCTTGCACACGTCCTTTTCTCCCCAAGAAGCTGCTGATTTGTCGGAACCGCCGATATCGCACCACTATAGCATATAGCTGCCATACAAACTGAGCGATCAATATCATATTTGACGTGATATCTTCACGAAATTTGACACATATTATTGCTTAAAGCAAAGGTACAAACTTCGAAGAAATTGTTCAGATCGTATCACTACAGCATATATTTTGCTGGTCATCACGTTAAGTCTCTACCTATCACTTCTCATGATGGACGAAAAGACAAGCTGTAGTGGGATAAAATCCTACTTAGTTTCGGTAATGTATATATAAGCAGCTATAAATGAATATCTATAAAGTCGTCTCATTTCTCACGTGAATATTGAAAACAATAATGCATTTGTTTTATTTTGAATTATGGTATTTATTAATTTAGTAAACATAAAATTAATAATTGTATGCATTCTTTTGTATATTTAAATATACTTATATAAAAGTAACTATTCAATATAGTTTCTTGTATTGTTATTTTATTAACTTTGCTTAATTTTTTGCGTTTTTTGCTTTTTCTCGTGTTTTTTATATTTTTTTCTTTCTTCACTTTACTTTACTTTAATTTTTTACCATTAATTATCATAATTAATAATAATTAAGTATTAAATTTTATGTATTGTAATTAAATTGTATGCTTTTATGCTGATTTACCTTCTGCTTTATCGCCTTTTTGGTTTGTGTACAAAATTTTTCTTTATGTATTAATATATATTTTTTGTTTGTTTGTTACTTCTCTTCAATTTATACTTTTATATATTTTGTTTATATTTGTTTTGCTTTAGAAATATGCAAGTTTTTCATTTAATCAATTGTGTTGTTGTTATTCTTCATTGCTTCTAATTTAGATGAAATTAAAAAAGAAAATAACAAAGCAGAATTGTTTTTATTATAACAAAAACGTTATGCAAACATGCATAAAAAAGTAGATATAAAATTTAAAAAAAAAAATATATATATAGATATATTTATATATATGTATGTAAATAATAATTCAGAGATAACAATAGTGCAAAATCGATGATTAGATAAAAAAAGGGACAGTCACAAAAAGTGGAACGGATTTTTTGATATAGAGTGGGGCGCAAGGTTTCGAAGGTTTATTGGGATCGAATATGCTGAAGAGTATATAAATTTCAATCGCAATTCGGAAAACGGTTGTCCAGTCAGATATATGATAAACTTAATATAAACGATTTTTTGCAATTGATCTGCTGATACGAGTTTTAATGTATGATCTTATAATTATGCAAAGAAACGGTTGTGTATAAATCATAGGCTTAGTAAAATACGGAAAATAAGTTGATAAATGTATAGTGTTGTATATTGGGTGTGGAAATACATATACATCTGTATCTGCGTGTTGTATTTAGTTTGGATTGGAGTTGGAGGGCAATTTTAATGATCCTCGAAGGCGCACGAATGTATTATGTATTATTGGCAAACGTGACTATACTTTGATAATTCAAAAATCTCAATGTATATTATGGTGTGGGAAATATGATTTTCAACTTTGCAAGCAAGCTGAAACCAGCATGCTATAATTTATAAAAGAGTTTTTGTTATTCAATCTTTCTCTTACACTTGCTCCGTTTTGTTGTTCTTTGCAATCTACTTCTCACAGCTTGTAAATCGTTTTTTGGACAAATGTGCTTGAGTACTCTATTATTATGTTCTATTACTAACGCTTAATACCAATTATACAAGTATGTGGATGTAAGTTTTCGCATATAAAATGTGTCACGATCTTGTAAGTATGTTTGCTGAAGGTTTAATATTATGGTATTTTAGTTAATATAATTGTTTATGTATGCGTGTGTTTATTGTTTAATATGTGTAGCGCTTTATTATTACCTTGCCTTTGTTGTTTTTCTAATCTGAGGAGGGAAAAGGTTTATATCATATTTATTTTTACTCTGCTCTTTCTACCCCGTAATTTTAAATTTATAACTTTACGCAAATGTTTCCTTCGTATTGCTTTTGCTTATTTTTGTTTTCGCTTTTTTAGTTGTCTGCGGTAGTCTACAGTTCTATAATATATAAGTATAAGTATTAGTTAGTTTATTTTAAATATATTCTTAAAATAGGCTTTTATATTTTGCAGCTTGCTTCGTATTGAGTTTTAAATTAATCAGTTTTTGTTGCTTCACGCCTTTTTATTTTAAAATATCTAGTGTTTAATTCCATGTAATTTCGATTTTAAATCAACGCCTTTTTATTTTCATACACGTCGTCATTCGCTTTGCCGTCACAATTTATATCAATTTTCAGTTCTATCCGCTGTCGCCACGAACCACGCGCCACTTCAGTTTTTCTATTATCAAATCCACCAGACTTTACTAGGCCTGCTAGCTATTTGCAATACAAGTCCTTTTATAAACACACTCGCGCCCGTTTGCTCTGTCGCTGCCGAATCCTTCCATTAACGCGTTAGTTCAACTTATGTTTTAGTAAATTTATTTTAATTATTTATTTGAGAGTTTTTCTCCTTTTGCACAATTACTTTCGTTCAACTGTTTCTTTCTTTGTTTATTTTCAATTCGCACAATTTTTCTCCTTGTCTGCTTGTTATCAAGTATACTTTTTCCTTTTTATTTTCACTTCCATTTCCGCAAAAAATGTCACTTAAGAAAAAAATTAAATGTTCTATTTTGGATTTTTACGTTTGCTGTTGTCGCTGTTTTTATAGTTTTAGCATATAAAGTTTTTACGCTAATCTTAGCCATTTATATTGAAGTTTAATTCTTTGTCTGCTTGCCTTATGGTTTGGTGCTTTATATTTTCTTTCTATTTGCATTTATATGAAAAAACAATTCTCTTCTACTGCCTCTTTAGTCGTCTGCATCCTCCTGCTCCTTAGTATCATCCTGCAATTCTTTAAATTTTTCTTCACGAGGTTTGGCATTACCAAAGATCGCGGCCGATTGCTTTGTCTCAGCCAGTGCATTGATTGGCGCTTGTATGGTCCGTGGCTTTAGATTAAGCCGTGGCCTCTCGCTATCATCTGCAAAACAGTAAACAAAAATTTTATATTTGAATAAAACAATATGAGAAGAAACTTTTAGATTTTTTTTCAAGCATTTTAGTAATATGTGCTAACGTTCTTGAATGCGGAGAACGCAAGGCAGTTCCAATACTGTTCTAACTAAATCTAAAAAAAAAAACAAGTAAGGAAGTTCTAAGTTCTGGTGTAACCGAACATTGTATACTCTCGCTACTTGCAAGGATCAAAGCCCGGGAAATGACTTCAAGTGTTGGCAAACTTTTATATTAAAGGAAGTATTGATCCGATTCAACTCATTTTTCCAAAACATACTATTATCAAGAGATTCATTTATTTATCTTCATATATGAATTTCAATTATACAATATATCTTACACATTGACTGATATCTTCGGTAAAAAATTGACTTCATTCATTCAAAATCATATTCAGTACCTATTGGCTTGAACAGTTTTGGTTCGACTTACAATTATTTGGTCATACTTTAAACACATTATTCACTCAAAGTTTTACCCCGATACAATGATTGTTGCTTGATTTTCATAGTGAAAAGTGAAAAAGAATCACATGGAATTTAAAATGGTGTTCTATGGGCAATAGGCGTGGTTGTAGTCCGATTTCGCCGAAGCATATTATGTACCGAATTTGGTTGAAATCGGTTAAGCAGATCGCAAGATATGGGTTTTCACCTAAAAGTGGGCGGTGCCACATCCAATAAAGACATCTCCTACAATCCCAGGGATAAAATGTAATGTCCCTGGCGTGTTTAGTGCTTGATTTATCGCGATTTAGTAGTTTTTAACAGAACCATTATATGGGGAGTGGACGGGGTTGTTACCCCATTACACCCATTTTCATACTGTTGTTGTTGTTGATGTGTAACGGTTATCTAGTGCCCGCTTGGATGATAAGTCATAGTTTGGTTGTCGTCGAGGTCATCTAACGGGAGGCCCAAGAAACAAGCTGTTTCGACGGTGTCGGACCATAGGGAAAAGGGTGTTAGATGAGTTCGGTTTGATGGGCATGCAAAGAGGTGGTTAATATCATGCGGAGACTCATAGCACGCAGGACATATGTTTGGAATGTCTAGGTCTATTCTGGATAAGTAGGAGTTTAACCTGCTACAATATCCAGAACGAAGTTGCGCGAGGGTCACTCTGGTGAACTTCCCTTCTACGAAAACACCCCAGCAGAAACTGCTTGGAGAGGAGCTCGTTATGTTCCTTAACCGGAAACATAAGGGCCTCACTGTTCAGGTGTTCTATTGGGGACATCAAGAGGCATCCCGTGATAGTCAGGATAGACAATTCCCACAACAGCCGGTTCTTCGCTACCGGAATTGACCCGGATTTTATCCAGCCGAGGGCTGTTATTTCGGCGATCTAACCTTGTTTGGATCGGTAAGTGTTTTCACACTGTCGATAGGGGTGCTAAAAACATTTGTTCCCAGTGTATTTTCTTAGTATAACTTTAGCGGTGTAGGAGATATGCACATTAAACCCGTTAGGGGGCGGGACCACGCCCACTTTTAAAAAATAATGTAAACTGCAGACGCCTCTCCCTAATGTGATCTTGTATATCAAATAACAATCTTGTATCTTATTGTGGAGCTTAGTTTTGGCAACTTATTTGTTTTTGATTAATGGCGCCTTGTGGCAGTGGTCCGATTACGCCCATCTGCAATACCAACCGTCTTACGGTACCAAGAAACATGTATACCAAGTTTCATAAAGATATCTCAACTTTTACTCAAGTTACAGCTTGCACGGGCGGATGGACAGACAGTCATCCGGATTTCAACTCATCTCTTCATGCTGATCATTTATATATAGGTACATAACCCTATATCTAACTCGATTAATTTTAGGTGATACAAAAAACCGTTAGGTGAACAAAACTATTATACTCTGTTGCAACAGGTTACGAGAGTATAATAAAAATATGAAAATACTGATGTGGTACCTAAACCCTTCTATTGCATTTGGACACACCAATTACGAAATTTTGAAAAAAATAAATAAAAATTTTACAATGACTGCAGTTTTTGATTGTATCAAAAATGTAATTTTGGCGGAGAGATCATCTAATTTTTGAGCGAAATTTCACTTTTTTCGAAGTCTGCAATTTTATTAAATTTCAATGTTTTAAACAATTAATAGTAATTGTACTTTTTTTTTCAACCACAGTCAAAGTAGCCAGAACTACCGCATTGGAGGACTTTTGATTTTTAGTAATTTGGGAAATAGCGAATACATTTTTGTTTGTTTTTAGTAGAATAGAATAGAATAGTTTTAAGTAATTTCGGAAAATCTTTTTTTTTAAATTTTTTCTATATTATAAGTCGAATACCTCGGTCAGTAGGGTAGATGACTACAACATGATTCTTCATTTTTAACAATAATGTTTATAATTTTTACTTTAAATTGCTGAAATATATTAAGTGGGTTTCGCACACGTCAGCACGCAAATGTAAAGCGCAATCGAACATAATTTCACCTTAAGACTTATTTATAGACATGTCGAAAGCTAAACGAATGGGAACATGTAGCTTTTCGAATGGAATCGTATATTCTGACAGTATAATTGGAATACGTAGTATCAGGACCATTTCTACTTAAAATTTTCCAGAAAAAATGGTGGATTCAATATTTCCTGAGATCGTTTTGATTACCAAATGTGTAATTGAGGTTGGCCCAAAGTATGCTGAAGAATAATAGGTGAACCAATTTTTATCCGAAGATCATCTCGTTTCAACACTTCGACATAGCAATGATTGTTTTAAACATGCTTTAATCTAATTGGCTAAAGTAGAGCGAAGAAGTAGTAGCATGGCACAGGACAATACAAGATTTAAACGGCAATGATAAACTTTACTGTGGCGCTGCCTTACTACCTCTGGCGATTTCGGACAGGCCATACCGGTCACTCCTTGCTCTACGTTCGCCGATGAGATACATATAAGTAGGTTAGGTTAGATTATACTGGCTAGCTGTCACAACATGCATAGACCTGCCGGTCCTTTGTAAACCCCGATGCAGTTCAAAACTTCACAGGACTTTGAACGGTGAAGCTTCTAGATATCTAAGACAAGTCCTAGATAAAACGGGACAAAAGCAGAGGTGTTCCAGCGTCTTTTTCATACCTACTTCCCTGCCCTGTCTGCATGTGTCATCGGCCCATCCCGCTCGCATATGATGCCAGTGTCTTGACCTGCCTCTAGGCCAACAACCGTAGTGCAGTCTTTCGAGACCGTGTAAGTAAACAACTTGCGTTTTCCTTCGGTTTCCCTTTCGGAAATTCCATTATATATCTCTTTCAGCGACTTGCGTATTTCCTGTACTGGTTCTGTAGCCTGACGAATTGCACTTTAGGCAATCTTATCACGTATTTCGCTTCCCAGACTACCTACCAGATCTTCTAAACTATCTTCTATCTATATATATGTCGTTGTATGTCCGGGGTAAACTCCTAAAATATGCAGTATCCAGTTTGAATCAACTTAAATGAAAGTATAGGATTCCATTCCCACGCCAACGGGTCTACGTAACCGGTATGGACCCGGCCAAGGACTGTCAACTCGGCAGAATATTCACATTCTCTTTATTCTAATTAATTTAAAGGTTTTGAAATCACTAATATGATATGAATAATAGCTTGCCATTCCTTTAAAACCTTTAGCAGTAAACGAGTTAACCATTGCTAAGAGCATTTCTACGATCTTCATCGCAAATGAAAATGAGCTATGCTTTGTACTTACCTATACTGCCTAACGGGGCAGCAGCCGGAGCGGGTCTGTCATTATGACTGGGATTGAAGTTTGAGCGTTCGCGATCACGTTCTCCTCTGTTCCTACTGAAATTATTATAACGATCGTTTCCTCCATCCCTGCTTTGAGCGCCAAAACTTCCTTCGCGATGATTACGATCATGATTTCGCTCAAAACGATCGTCATTGTTAAAATTGCCGTACCGGCCTCTATTCGCTGGACGATCTAAAATATCACGAATTTAAAAGACAATAAACAATTACATCGATTTCAAGTATAATAAAGTTTTCTAAAGTGTGCAAAACTAAAAATTTTTAATTTTGCATGCTGTTATTTTTGTCTAAAATTTCAAACGAAATACGCATACGAGTAGTGGATTTGGAAGAGGCAACTACGGGTGTTGTACGAATATTTGTTGGTTGTGGGGCAAAGCTGGAACAAGGTCCTCAATAAAATTAATAATCATTATTTTAATAAGTGAGATGTTATAATATAAAGAATGTAGGCATAATATGTTGGGTATTTGTCATTTTTGTATTATTGGTATTCTACATTAGGACTTGAAAATGTAGTATGATGTTCCACTCTTTATTTCCTACAGACTTTATTTACCGTTGTATCCTCTATTCATGCCGCCGCCACCACCACCACCGCTGCCGCCGCCTCCGCCGCGATTTCTATCGTTGTGACCATAATTATCATTGTACGAACCTCTATTTTCGCCTCGATTACCACCCCCGGCACCACCGCTTCCACGATTAAACTGATGATTACCACCACCGGCACCACCTCCAGAAGTGCCCCCTTGTCTTGGCGGACCGCGTTTATTGAAGCCTCCACCACCACCAGCGCCTCCTCTGGAAACACACAAAATTAAATATAATAATCATATAATCAAAATGAGGGATTATCCAACCGTTCGTTTTTCCTGCGATCAGCTATATCAATCCTAAGCGGCGCGGATAAGTCGTCCAATTTGATCCGTCCATCGCATTCCAAAGCGCGTTCCAAATTCTCTAAAGTTTCAAACTCGACATAGCAAAAACCTTTGAATTGATCCGTTTCCCGGTCTTTAACTAAACGGACATTTTTTACTTCAAAATCTTGAAATATTTTTATTACGTCCCCTTGGACCAGCCCTTGTGGCAAGTTTCCGACGTACGCTATAAATGGAGGTTCCGTTGGTAACTGCTTCCCCGGACGGTCCCCATAGTTTCTATATATATATATATATAGAAGGAAATTAAATGGTGTGTATGAATACCAGTGCGTATAATAACACTTTATCACAAAAAATTGCTTTTTAGTTAAAGTTTTCAAGAAAGTAATCGTATACTCTAACCGCATATAATTTAAATGATATCCAGTTGGTGTATCATAATTAATTATATATAAGTATGTATATGTATATGAAAGTTTACTCATTATATTATGTAATAGATAAAGAGTACATTAAATGTGATCATTATGATGCAGATATTTTTTACATAAATCCAAATTACTAATCTAATTATGACTACCGGCATATTTTTTTGTCAAACATATTAGTTAATAGGCAATTGATAACGATTGAGCACGTTTTATTGTAAACATCTTAACTGGATCGATTGTGGTAAGTCATCGCACATACACATAGCATATAATATAGAAATCTAGATGCATATTATTCAAAGGGTTTGATGTGATATAGTCAAATCGGCGTCACTATTACCTCAGCCAACGACGTCACCTAACCCACCTCTAAATCTTTAGACCAGCCTAAACATTGCTGCGGTGACGTCGGCCAAATGCCGATTGCGATGCCCGTTTTTTGACATTTATTGCGTTCACTATGTTTTGCACATGCTGCACCAACCATTTCAATTTATATCGAATATAACTTAGAACTGTTTTCCCCTGTATATAGTCAATTTTCCAGAAGCAATTATTATTTTCAATTCCCCGCGCATTTTAATTAATATTTTGATGTCAAATTTACCCATCTATGCTTCTTGATTTCGACGATTATAAATCACAATTCAATTACTCGCCGTGTGTGCTCGTCAAAGTCGTCGCATTTTCTCTACTTCTTTCTGTCCGTCGTCAATGTGAAAAAATATCAATTCTACTTTCCGGTATTTACTATTATTTTAGCACTTTCTAACTTAATTTAATATATATTGTACAAATAACAAACTGTAAGAACTTTTTTTTTTATTTAAACACACGAAAGTCTTTATAAATATATGTTTTTAAAATATTTACCTAGCGTGATCAAAACCACCTCTTACAGCCATGTTTTATTTTTTCAAAATGGTCTAAGCGAAATATGTCCGTCCCAGGTAAAGCGAATTATTTTTCTACCTTGTACGTTTCCACTGTTTCGCTGTCAAAGTATGCGCCCAAAAACACACTTGATATCTCTTTTGCACCTTCGTGACACGTTCAACGAACTATCAAAACAAAAAGCATTGATATCGGTATACTCTGTTATACTCTTATTCTCCTACAAAGTGTTTTCGCCACTCCAACGCTCTTGAGCAACAGAGATGGCAATATATATCAATGCAACACGTTTGCTTACACCGGCCGCTGCATTAACTTGGTACAAATAATTCAAATTATGTGAATGCACGTAGTAAACTGTAGCCAATATACTTTTTGTTTACGAACTGCCTCCGTCCACCTTGTCTTTACAAAAACTTTTGTTGTACTGAAATTTTTTACTTTTGAGGGTTTTTATTTGCCAATCTCTGCGCCCCACTCACATTCATTGCACTCGCGCAAAGCGCACGTCAAATTTTTTCGTTTATTTCTACGAAATTTTGCTGATTTTACCGCTGCACTACTATAAAAATAATAGATTTTTAATATGAAAATATACTATATGTGGAATTAGGTACGTCTGAAGTAATTCAATATGTCGATTTTATTGATCGTTGCTTTGATTTTGACTTATTTTTTTAAACGAAAAGTGTTTTTCTTCAATATATTTTTGTATACAATGTTGTTTTTAACTTAACTTGCCAATACCACAAAAAAATATAGAGTATTAAACTACAATGACAGTTAGGCCTATTTACACACAATTTTTCTGGCTTTATGTGACAGTTCATACTGAACAACGAAGCGTAGAAAACATAAGGTATTCCACAATGAACGCATTGCTTTCAGTGCTTCTCTCTAATGAAAGTGGTGATTGTAGCTTGGCAAAGAGTAAAAAGATAGGAGTTGCGCAACATTTTGCCTGGCTTCGCGTCTAAAACTTTTATGTGAACGTACTCATGCAAAAGCGTACATCAAACTTTTCTGTCAAAACAAATGTCTGGCGCAAAGCAAAAGTTTTATGTGAGTTGGCCATTAGTCGGGTTGAAATCCAGAATGTCGGCATAAAAACGAAAAGATGCTGCAAAATTATTGCATACAATCGGTATTACTAAAGATGCCAGATGTATAAGTTATTAAAATAATTGAATTAGCTGTCCACATATCTGCAAGTGTAACACAAATTATTTGGTACTATATGCTTAACTCTTTTTTTTATTGTAACATTTACAAAATAACGCGCTGTCGAAAAGTATAAATAACCCCAGAAATTGTATACGTATTTCAGACTTTTTAGTCAACGGAATTACCTGGGAATGGCGCTACGTAAAACTAGTAAAACGAATATATTTTTTTAGTTAAACTTTAAATGCTGTTTATATAATTTAGAATTTTATTGAAAAATAGTTTTTCTTTCACTATACAAAAATACACTTTTGATAAATAATTTAAATAAACCCTACAAACGCATATAAAAGCAAAACTAATTTCGAGCACTAAAAAAACTGATATGGGTGCCTTGAGGTATCCGGATAGCGGAGAATAAAATGTATTTGATAAATGTCAAATGCAAGTACCGATTATTTGACATTTTCCTTTTGCACACTATTGCTCTTAAAGTGTACACGTTTTTACTGCAAATTTCACGAAATCACAATCTGTGATTTAATTGAGTCAACTTTCAGTGGAAACATCTAAAATACTAAGCATATATTGCAAAAATGGCGTTGACGTCACGTTTTTATAGCGAAAAATATCCCGAGGTTGAAGATGTAGTTATGGTGAATGTGTTATCCATAGCTGAAATGGGTGCTTACGTCCATCTGCTAGAATACAACAATATAGAAGGCATGATTCTGTTGTCAGAGTTGTCTCGCCGTCGTATTCGTTCCATTAATAAATTGATTCGCGTTGGCAAAACAGAACCAGTGGTAGTGATACGTGTAGACAAAGAGAAGGGTTATATTGACTTGTCCAAGCGTCGTGTGTCGGCAGAGGATGTAGAGAAATGCTCGGAACGTTTCGCAAAAGCAAAGGCGGTGAATTCGCTACTAAGACACGTAGCTGATATTTTAGAATATGACTCAAGTGAAAAGTTAGAAGAGCTGTACTTAAAGACTGCTTGGCACTTTGAGAAAAAGTATAATAACAAGACAGTTGCGTACGACATCTTCAAACAATCCGTCACAGAACCATCTGTATTCGACGAATGTGGTTTAGATGAACACACCAAGGAAGTTCTCCTGAACAACATTAAGCGTAAGCTCGTTTCGCCTACTGTGAAAATTCGTGCTGATATTGAATGCTCTTGTTATGGCTATGAGGGAATAGACGCTGTTAAAGCTGCATTAAAGACAGGTCTGGATTTAAGTACAGAAGAATTACCTGTACGCATCAATTTAATTGCGCCTCCTTTGTAAGTAATTTTAAACATGAAATAATAGATCACAACTTTTAAATTTAATTAACGAAGGTATGTAATGACGACGTCTACAACAAAAAAAGCTGAAGGATTGAAAGCTTTGGAGACAGCAATCGAAAATATTCGCAATAAGATTATTGAATCGGAAGGAGAATTCAAAGTTATAATGCCACCAAAACTTGTTACGGCTATTGATGAAGCTGATTTGGCTCGTCGCTTGGAGAGAGCAGAAGCTGAAAATCAAGAAGTGGGTGGAGACGATGATGAGGATGCAGACGGTGACCAAGAAGGCATGCAATTCGATCCAGAAAAGGAATTCAATCACAAAGGTGAACGTGCCGCTGCTCAAAATGATAATGAAGACGAAGATGAGGAAGAGTAGAGAGAGAGACAAATATAGTTCATTTCCAGTTGCGTTTAGACACCACTTGGTTTATTTATCTAAAAAATATTCACAAGTTTGTCGGGAGCAGTATATAAACAAAAACCGTCATTATTTTAATTTTGATAATAAAATATAGTTTATGCAATTATTAAAACGTTTAAAGAATATGGAACAATATGGTATAAATAAATCACACAAGAACAAACAAATGGAAACGTTGGTTTTTGTAGATTAATATGGCGGTCTACGAAACGTTTCTTAAATATTTTACACTATAATTAAAATCAACTCATATCTTAAAACCAATATAAATAATTTTTTCTTACCGCTACATGCATTCCAGATGCAAATCAAACCTAAAAAATGTCAGCCGTGAGGTACAAATGAGTTGTCATCGCAGTCATGTTGTTGTTGTAACGGTTATCATCTGCGATATACCTAGAGAACGTGCGGCTTCAACGGGGTCAGACCGTAGCGAGAGGGGCGGTTCATTGGTCCTGCAAAAAATTGGTTAGAGTCATGAGGGGAGTAATTACACGCAGAACATATATTTGGTATGTCAGGGCAAATTCTGGATAAATAGGAATTTAACCCACTACAATATCCAGAACGCAGTTGTACGATCTCATCACTATCTCATATATCTGCCATTCAAACTGACCGATCAAAATTAAGAAAACGATCTTCATAAAATATATATTTTCCCGAATTAGTGGTTACGGTTGCATGCTCAGATTTAGTCATATATTATACATATAGTAGTTGATATAAGAAATGCTACTGTGATTGGAATAGTGATTGGTTATATTTTTTATCTTTAATTAATTCCGTGCGAAGATTTAAAATACAAATTTTAAACATTTGGTTTGCACAAATTTCATCTATTTATTATTTTTATTATTAAATAATTTCATATTACTTATTTCAGTGCTATTTTTACCTTTACAAACCCTTTTCATACACCATAAATTGTAACGGAAAAATCCGATTCTCTTATGAAACTAGTCCCAAAATATTTAAGTTATAAAAGTATGATCCAGTCCATTAGCAAACAAATTTTGTCGTTGATATTTTACATTCACATAAAATTTGAATGAAATATCGACTTTTACTGCTGTTTCGATTTGTTTATTTTTCCTGTGTGTGGGTTTTATCGGTTCTAACATTTATGCATACGTATATGATGATGTTTTGCCCACAAATCCGCCACATTCTGTCCATTGCCGTGTATAAAATAAGAAATGCTGTAGCCTGAGGTAGTTTGAATGTTATGTTAGGCTTAATTCATTATTAAAGCTTACGCCTTATTTTTAATTGTTGTTTGTTATACGTATCATTATTATTTCAACAGTTGACGATAATTTTGCGCAAAAACTTACACATATATATACATATATGTAAGTATAATATGTACGTGGAAATTGTGGCTTGAATAAATCGCTAGTTTTTATTTTATTTTTATTTTTTCTTAAACGTATATTGTTTAATTTTATTCATCCTTCTTCTATTAGTGTTTCAGGGCGGCGACAGTGCTGACGACGCCATCGTCTTCTCAAAATCTCAATGACTTGGCAATGAGCGCTGCAGTTGCTTGCGTTTTGTTACCGCTATGACGACGCAACTCAGCAATCACATCTGTGCGATTGTAACCAAGTTTCACCAAATCGGTGACATCACTCTCGGTGAAACTGTCATTGGACGAAACATCATTAGCTGCACCACCCTGAGATCTTTTCGAAGTTGAAGCTATTAATAAATACGAAGTAAATTCTTTTTAGATAGGTACGATTTATAATAAGGTCAATTAAATGTACCAGCATCTTGTTTGCTTTGTTCGATAGCTTGTTGTATGGCGCGCGACTCAGCTTCGCTAGCTGATTGTTCCAACAACTTAAATTCCTCCTCTGAGTTACCGGTGAGACGTGCGCAATCAGGCAACTCGTTTTCGGGTAAGAATGGCGTTTCGCTGCCGGTTGTACCAATACGCAGCACATTTTGCTGCAAATCAATGTTGCACTAAAAGAAAACGAGCACACAAAATGTTTATTATACAAATTTGTTTGTAGTAATTATATGAGCGCATTACCTGATGACGTTTCAGCATATCAAGACCAAGCAACATATCCATTCCTTGTTTTTCCAAAACTGAAAAGCTCGATGTTAAGTGATCGTTTCCTATCTGCAACTGAACCATATGTATCCGACCAATAATACGTTGGGTACCAACACCTTTAGCCACTCCATTCCACCTGAAGAAAATTTTATTTTTAATCACAGAATCAAAAATTGTTGAAATATAAAAGGCTTAAAAGTGTGTTAAAAGGTTTGCCGACCACTTCTGTAGAGCATTGAAGATGAGGGCTCTGTCTTAGATAATCGTTATAACAACAACAACATGGCTCTGTGCGAGCTACAGTTCAAAATGGTAGAACAAGGAGTATGCAAGCGCGAAATTATGTTAATTAATTTTTTTATTTTCTATTATAAACTTAGGATCAACATCTTTTTTATACTTTCGCAACATGTTGCTACAGAGTATAATAGTTTTGTTCACCTAACGGTTGTTTGTATCACCTAAACCTAATCGAGTTAGATGCAGGGTTATATATATATAAATGATCAGGATGAAGAGACGAGTTGAAATCCGGGTGACAGTATGTCCGTCCGTCCGTCTGTGCAAGCTGTAGCTTGAGTAAAAATTGAGATATCTTTATGGAACTTGGTACACATGTTTCTTGGTGAAATCGGATTACAACCACGCCTATTTTTCAAAACTCGAAATACAAAAAAAAAAAAAATTTTTAATCTTAATACAACTATTGAACTATTAATCCAATATTTGCAACCCCATATTCAAGTTTATAGTTTATATGCATTAAGTATCTCACAACAGCCGGTTTTACTTTGCCCGAATTGACCCGTATTTTATATGACCGAGTGTTGTTATTTCGATGGTTTACCCCTGCTTGGATCGGTAAGAAATAAAAATATTACCCACCTAGTATCGATAAGTCGATTCAAATTACAGCGCTCAGCGCATGCTGCACTCATAATTGTAGTTTGAGCACCAGAATCAACGAACGCTTTTACTGAGACGCCATTTACTTTGCAATTAATGTATCTGAAAAATTTAAGATTTAAGAAAAATTTGCATTTAAATTTACAGTATTTATTACTTACAACATAGTCACCGTGCCAAAGATTTCTGGGTTGTATTCAATAGCTGCAGCCATATTATCTTGAATGTTTTTTTGTTTAATCTCTTCAGCAATTAGACGTTGCGCCTCTTCATCAAACGGATCAGCATTCAACATGCGTAAACGTTGCAACTGGCGCTGTTTTCTAATATCAATTTGCTCTCGCAATACCTTAGAGAATGATTCCAAATTACCCGATAATAATGCTTCGGCCAATTTCGGATTATTTTGTTTCAGTAGTGACAGTGATTCAGGATTTGAAAGAAGCATTGTACGCACTGCAGCTGGGTCGTCATCATAGTTGACATTAAATTCATCGGAATCAGTGTAATCCATGTCGCTAGGTGTAGGGCGATATCCTGGTGCCAGTCCCGAACTACTGCCGCCACCAACACCAGTCCCCAGAATATTACCTAAGAAGTTTGTTAAAAGAAAAGATGGGAAATTTTTCAAAATACTTATTTTCAAAATATGTACGTATTGATAGATATATCAGTGTTCCTAGCTGAGAATTAATTTACAGTAATTTATTTTGTAAAATACAACAAATATTTGTCTGACTTATAATAATAAGGGGATAAAAAAATAAGAAAAAGTTGAAATGTAGATAAGTTAAAATGAGGAAAAGGTTTCAAGAAAAAAAAATTTAACATTACATAAGAAATATATACTGCGTGGATTAAAGTGTAGATGTGGGCTTAAAACAATTACTTGTACCAGCATCTACAATTACAATAACTTTCTTAAATTCATCAGTACATATACACATACATATGTATATGTTGCTAACAGAGAACAATGTGCACATTTGAAAAATAATACTTTTTAAGTTGTCAAAACCAAATGTCATGCATTATGATTATTTTAAATGCCCTTGAGTCTTGGAATTTTAAATATCGTTCTTTGAATGTGAGAAAATTTGTCCATTGCACTCTTGTTTTGAACAAATATTTTTATATTAACGAGGCCTCTTTAATACATTCATATGTACATATTATGTGCACACAGTAGGCAGATATGCATATGTATGTAGATGACAAGACACGCCGAACAACATATGAACAAGTACCAAATGTGCCACAACCAATCTAAATACCCGTAATTTATTTGTGCGCCGATTGCATTTAAAGCATTAGCGGCATTTTCTTTTATTTTCATGAAATTTTTGAGCAGATTGACCCACTTATGTTTCAGAACAATATAAAGCCTTGAAACTGTTCAGTATGTAGCATTTCATTTAAAACAGAACAACTATTTAAATATATATATATATAAATGCACTTTACTTACCCAGGCCACCGACCTCTGGAGCACCTATGCCGCGACCGACTGGCAAACTTTGCAATATTACACAGTCACCATCTCTGATACCGAAATATTTTAGCGGTTTTTTGTCATCTAGCAATGGAGCACCATTGAAAACAATAACTATCTGAGATATGGGGGTTCCAGACTCTACTTCACAAAATGCCTTGAAGTTTTCCAGCTCCAGTTCTTCGGAAACATCCAAGAAAAACACGCTATCCGTCAAAGTGGTTACCGTTATCTTCATATTTATATTTCTTTGTTTTTTATGAACTTTATACTTTTCTTTACCAGTTAGAAAGTTGTAATTACAATGAATTCTTCTTTCTTGCTCAACAACACAATGACTTTTGACGTAAATATTTAACTGAAATGTTGCTTTTGTGATATAGTCTTAATATTTACTCAAAATCACTTTGCTACTCATTTAATCTCAATTGATTCGCAAACAATGGAAAGTAATGCGTTCTATATATGATTCGTCACCAAAAACAGGAGATTATCGCTTTGAGTTCGTTTTTTATATTTTCTTCCAGCCTTATCTTCGTTTACCTCTATCTACCTTCAGTTTGTTTCTGTTTTTCGTCCGTTCGGCATCTTCATTTTCTATGTTGAGTTTATTGTTGTTGTGCGTTTTAACTACAGTTTTCAACAATGGCGGCGCAACAGCAGCGACAACCACACAAAATATATATCATTCACAATAGTAGCTGAGAGTTTAAAAATATTTCCATTACTTCATTTTGTCTACAAAAATGTAGTTATAAATTAAAATATGTATTTTTATTAAGGGCCATTACACAAAACTAGTCATTCAAAATATCTTTCTGCAATATATTTTAGAAATATTTTGAAACGTATATTTGAATCAAATACATTTAAACCCAAACACCATATTTAATACAATTATATCGCACGTCGTGCTGGTAGGCCAAAAGCAATATACAAATATTTGGAAAATTATTTTAATTTTTATATTACATTCGATAGATAAGATCTCAGAATAAAGCTTTCCTCTATAAACAAAGAATATGCAGAAAGTGGAAAAGTTCAATGACAGAGCAGCACTACAATTATAATTGTTTATAAGGGTTTTAAAATAATCAATATATATAGACTATATGATCATCACAAAAAGGGAAACTAACTGTCAAACAAATTTTATGTGAACGGGACCTGTAACAAAGCCAAATTTATGCGATTTGCTGCAAATTGTTCAAATTGACAATTTACTTGAAAATGCGATCGCAAGCAAGCAAAAATTTATCACGTTACGAGTGTACTGGACCACAAGCTGCAACTTACAAAATGTCAAAAAACTACCATTGAAATTTTCTTATATATACGAATATGTGCGGGGACTTTGGGAGTACATGTGATGAAGGAGAGGGCACAATAGACCCTAGGTCGCGGTACACACCTCAAACCAACTATCTATCTATCTATGTACATGATATTAGTTTACTATGATTTATGGTACGTGAAACCACCGGTAGAGGAATTTACAATGGGTAAAATATTATATGTATAAATGAAGCGATTCGAGAAAACTCACTGTTATAAAATCCTCCAACGATTGCCAAGCTAATTCGAGGGTTGGCATCATTGTCACAAAGTGTTGGTCGTGTAGCAAATGAGAACCTGATTTTTTCGCTTTCATAAATTGCTGTGTTTTCACAAAGTTCAGTAAGAAACAATACTAGAAAATTACAAATTTGTTTAAATAAGTGATATATATTGAAAATTTAATAAGTACAAGTAAGTTACTGAAATTAATTGGTGAAAATAAAATTTTTCCGTTTCGTATTTGGTGACTTTGTGTGTGCAACGTGATCGCGAAGCTCGATAAAGCAAGTGGTCGAGAAATGAAGAAGAATAAAAAAGAAGGTCAATTATTTAACGAAAGCAATTTTTAACTTTTGGGAAATAGAAGGATCTTCATTTAAAAATAGTTTTGGTTATTTTGGTTGTATTTCTTATAAATATATATAACTCCTCGTTAAAAGCGTGCTATATTTTCCAATAAAATTTTTTTTACAATTCGGGTATCGCCGCCATATTTGTGACCAGTTTCGCGTTTGAAAGCGAACATAGCCGATTGCTCAGCTTATTTCATAAAAGAGAAATGCAAATAATAAAGCAAGTTATTCATTTGCAAATTTTTACAGCCATATTCCGCCAGTGAATAATTCTTCAACGTGGAATCGATAAACGAATCTAAAAATTATAATGAGTGCTCAACCTAGTCCCGCCTGCATGACTCCTTCAACCGAACAGGAAAGAGTAAGTACCTAATGTTAATACATATACAAACATTCTCATTTACCAGTTGTCAAATATTTTACCCCTACAAACATTAATTCTTTCAAAACATTTCCTCAAAAAATATATAACCAGTTGGTATATATATGCACGTTTACAGATGTATATCGCAATGGTAAACATTTACACATATAATTGGTACATACATAGATAACATATACATATGTATACTTACCTTCAACCAATATTATTGAATGACTTCGCCTATTTGGCTGTTTCGTTACCAGGTGCTTTTGTCGTTTGCACGTTTTTTAATAGTGTGCGTTCGTGTTTTCTCAAATGTCTTATATTTACTTTATTCATGAAATGCTTTACTAAATTATTGAACTGAATTAATGTTTCTAATAATTTTATTTACCTTTACTATACATATATGTAGCCATATATAAATATGATTGTTTCGTATTTTTTTTAGCAATATATACGGGAAAACTTTAGAATAGAGTCCCAGGATTTCGGGAATAAAATGGGTATGGGCTAATAGAAAAGTAAAAGATTAAGAATATATATATATAGCCGCAGGAAACTCATAGTTTTCGAGATATTTGCGTTTAAAATTGAAAATTTAAACTATTTAAAGGATTTTTTCGATTTGAAATGAATTTTACATTTATATTTTTCACTTTTATATCGACTAACAATTCACTATATATATCTATATATATTCTTCATTTGGAGGACCTCCTCGATCGGCCCATACCCATTTTATCCCCGAAATCCTGGGACGGTATTCTAAAGCCGGCCCATATTTACTTTTGGGTATGTGGCAATTAAAAACCTATTTGATTAAATTCGCTTAACTTTACGTGATTCTTGTTTATTCCGTGCGTTCTGTTGTTATATTCAATTTTAATACTCTTTGTTTTACAATTTATGTGCAAGCGTTAACAATAAGCAAGTTTAAAATTGCACAAACAATTTAAGGAAAAGCATTATATGAAATTAAAATACAAATTGAAAAATTGTACCATAAATAGTTAAAGACTGTATAAAATTTTCTCAAAGAAATGTTTAAAAATCTGGAACGTGTCCCGGAAAAAAGTTGGATGGCGGTGCCCCTGACAACTTGGTGCAGGATCATCCAAAATCAAAAAATCATGTTGCATTCGTTAGATAATAGTTTTCTCCACGTACCACCGAAGGAGGCTTTCGAAATAATCAACCTGAAATTTTGATTAAATTTAATTTAAAAAAATTTAAACCTTAGCTCATACGGGTGTGTATGGTTTTTATTCATCTAAATTAATATTCTCAATATTTGACACCAATGACTCTCTAGAGAATAATACAACTTTACTTTGGCTTGTGGCTTTAGGATCAAACTATCGTCTTACACCTTTCTAATCGCTTGCTTAGTACAAACAAGCTTTTATAGTTTTAGCCGCATAAAACATTTCCATATCGATTTTATGTAATGTTCCAGTTAAGTAACTAGTCCCGTTGTATTTCTATTTCATGAATATTTATAAAGAAGATAAACAATTTTTATTAATGAATGTCGCTTGAACAGTATAACGCTATGTATCAAAGAATAAGTAGCTGCCTTGTTACAATTGCTTAATGGAAATATCCTCGAAAACGGAAGGACGATATTTATTTTCACCATTGAAATTCTAATACCTTCTATATAGGTATGTTTGTATGTAGGCATGTACGTCTGTAAATACCAAATCTAGGTAAATGAACACGATTGCTCAGTTGGCAGCTTAGTTGTGTGATGACAGGCGGCAAGGCCGTACATTGGCCCACAACATACAGCTTGACAATCATATGTATGTATATATGAGCGTACATATGTATGTGCATTAGTTCACGCCAGAAAACAAAAAAGCACTGAAACCAACGTTAAATTGCAATCGACATAGAAATTTAAGCACACGCAATATTCTACACATATTTATCATTAATACATACATACATAAAATGTGCATGATTTTCTTCTGATAAAGCATTTTAAGCCAGTATTATTGCGAAACATACTGGATAAATGAGCAGAGATGTGTCTAACAAGCACTTCCTCCAAATAATATTTTGCGCTAAGTTTTACGCCTTTATAAATGAAAAGGAGAGGGAGTTTTCTTTTTGCAGATATGTCTCCCCAAACCATAACAGAGGTTGTGTTTTGATACCTTTCAATAACTCTTTTATCAGCTGGCATTACAGACATACTGGTTGCATAAACGCGGTCATTTTGTAAGTTATGGCTAGCCTGTAACAAAAAATTTTCACATCAGAAAACAATCTTAATATTTGATTGCCGCCGAAGGAGCAAATTCCTTCTTTCTCTTCTAATTTTATTTTGTCGTTCCGTTAGATCATGAACTCGTTTTTTCTTATAAGCCCTCATTCTCAAATATTTATTAACATGTTTTTGATGGTTTCTCGTCTCACACTGAGGTTCTTAGCCAGTTTCCTTCTAGAAATTGCACATTTTTTCCTTATTCGCTGACGTGCAATCTTCACCAGACTTGGAGTTCTGACCGTGTAACTGCGACCAGTTTTTTCGATATTTTAACACGCCCACAATACGTTGAACGAATCTGCGATAAACATCAAGGTTCTAAAGGATCTTAACTATTTCACTTGTTGTTTTTCTTTACAAATGTAACTTTTTCACCAGCTTTCTTTTTGAATCCATTGCTCACAAAAACTGAGTAGCAACTTATGAAACTTAAAATTATGTTGCGTAACCATATTCAAAATATATGTGACAATAGAAATGTGTAACGGGAATATCTTAAAACTCACATCGCTCAGCCTAACGAAGCTTCAAACAAGTGCGACAGTTATAAGGGCCCACGCTGTACCTATATTGAGCGTTATATTGGTACTATTGGTACTATAATGGCAATATATTGCTAACCCTTAGGGGACTATTTTGTAAATTATTATTTTATGTGAATTGTCCATTTTCAAAAAAGTATGAATCCATCCTACAAATGTTTTCTGAAAATTTGTATAATTTTATTTGTTCCAAGTTCAAGGTCAACAATTTATTTATTAATTATTATTCCACATTGATTAGTATTTTTTTCTCAACACGAATCATGACAGGTATTATGAAATAGAAATGTTTACGAAAAACTAGTGCGTCATTCTCCTTTGAACCGTAAACATTGTAAAGTTCGAAAAATATAAACTAACTCTGACTTTTTCACAGCTTGAACTGACGCTGTTGGCAAATTTGTTTTTGTTTACAATTTTATTTCATTGACTATTTGCTTGACTAATTTTTAGTTCAATCTGGTTTGTGCATATTTAAAACTACAATGGGTTTAAAAGCATTTCTAGAACCAGATTGCCATCTATATATATGTATGTATGTATATAATATTAGGTTTGTATATGTAGCCATGTTCTAAATGGCATTATAAAAATTGGATGGAAATCGCTGACTGCATTAACTGTCTTTGATTATCGCCTTTGTTGCAATAATTAAATGTTAATTTTTCTCCGTCGCAGTCTTAGGCTCAATTCTTGGACTGCGACGATACTTACGGTGGTTTGCAACTATTGAACTCCCTCGTTTTGCTAGCGAAGTAGACCTCAAAAATGGCAAGCATAAAGATGGAGTAAATAAATTCTTTGGTTTATGGTGCCTAACTAAGATTGTATTTCAATTTAAAAAGTTGTAGATATTTGGTTAGGTGTAGTCAGAGGCATTAAAAAATTAAATAATTGTTTTTCAACTGGCAGTAAATTATTTTATTTTAAATAGGTAATAGCTTGGCAACATTGAATAAGGTTTCAACTTGACTTGACATAAATTTTAAAACAAAAGTAACAATTTTAAAAGAATTGGCTGTTTGTATTTTCGGGAAAAAACCAACAGCAAAATGTTTATAAAAAATTGAAATTAAAGAAAAAATCCTTCGATCAAAAGTTGTAATTATCGAATAACTCAAAAAGTATTTGTAAGTGAGATGTTATACTTTAAGAAAATACAAAAACAAAAAAAAAACGATTTATTGTAAATTCTAACTAACCTCTTAAAAATGATTGACTTTCTATACCAATATAATCGTGCTTTTGACAAATTAGTTTACGTTGAGTATGAATTGTGAAAAAGTACAAATCAAAATATACTATATTTATGTACATACCATATGTACACACACAAACGTCTTTTAATATTGCAAAAACGAGATTTTGTTTACCAATAAAATTAAGCATTTTTGTTATTATTTACCTTTTATATGCTCGTACAATTCAACTTGCCTAACATGCACAAAAAAAGCGTTTGTAAATGTATGGTATCTACGTATATCATATATTAATATGCTCTTTTTTAGGCACATTTTCTATATGTACGAAGTTGTAGTCGGTCATGTAGGCACATGGATTCAGGTATAAATTGCGTTCTAAATGAATTTCGCGAAAACACAAGAACTGCTGTTTTTTATCGCTTTAATAAATATGTATTTGTTCAGCTTTTGTTTTTTTTTTTGTACAGTACAGATAGTTGACGTTGCTGATTGTGCAAATATCTGTATGTACGAGTATGTATTTGTGCAAATGTATGCAATAAGAAAGGAAAAATTCAGTAAAGTATTGAATTATTATTATTGAGAGAAATATATTTACGCAACAATGAATAGAATTATACAATATTTAATTGGATTGACTTCTGAAGGAGTGAAAGGAGTATGGGCAAGCATTAATTACTTTTTAAGGGGGTTTCTCCATCCGATAGCTGTTAGAAATAAATTTTTTGTTTTGTACAAATTAATTGCCTAATATGTTATATTAAGTTTTTCTCACTTTTCTACAATAAGTCGTCAGATATCGAGAACAGTTTGAAATGTTTTGGAACTCCGTACATAGAAAAAGGCAATAGATCAAAATTTCAGTTTATAGATTAAAATGACATGTAAAGAAGATGTTAGTGTCATCCGGGGACTATATGCATTCAGGACACAGGTTTAGCATGATTCTGTATAAGTACGAATTTACATATGATCGAAACATCTACTACTCTGAATTTCTTAACATAAGGTCTACAAATGTATAAATGTAAAGAATATTTTTTTAATCCTTGTTAAAAATGTATATAGTTGTTATGTTAAAAATATCGATCGTTTAATGGAAAACTTATACAACTTTCCAACATACACATAAAAAATATACTATACCTTGCCCTATCCTGTTTTTTACTCATTAAACTATTTTCGTCACGTTAATTATTTGTGTTTTTCCAGGTATTTCAATGGATCAACGAATTGGCCCATCCAGAGAGTCGTGAAACAGCTTTACTCGAATTGAGTAAGAAACGTGAAACAGTGACAGATCTCGCGCCAATGCTATGGCATAGCTTTGGCACTACCGCCGCCCTTTTACAGGAGATAATTAATATTTATCCATCGATTAATCCTGCCACACTCACTGCGCATCAATCAAACCGCGTCTGCAGTGCGTTATCCCTACTGCAATGTGTCGCATCGCATCCGGAGACGCGTACAGTGTTCCTGCAGGCGCAAATACCATTGTTCCTGTATCCGTTTTTGCAAACAACATCCAAAACACGGCCATTTGAATACCTTCGACTAACAAGTTTAGGCGTAATTGGTGCATTAGTTAAGGTGAGCTGCGATCTGCAAAAATGTTATACACCAACTAAATTGTTAATGTTTCCTATATTTACCAGGCTGATGAGCAAGAAGTGATAACTTTCCTTTTAGCAACTGAAATCATTCCACTGTGTCTGCGAATAATGGAAACCGGTTCAGAACTGAGTAAAACTGTAGCTACGTTTATCCTGCAAAAGATTTTATTGGACGAAAGTGGTCTCTCGTATATTTGTCAAACGTATGAACGTTTTTCGCATGTTGCTATTATTTTGGTAAATTTTAAATTAGGCTATAAAACCATATAACTAGTTACTTAGTTTTGTTTGATTTTGATTGCAGGGCAAAATGGTAATTCAACTTGCCAAGGAGCCCTCAGCACGTCTGCTGAAGCATGTCGTACGATGCTATTTACGTCTTTCTGACAATCCCAGGTAAGTTCTCAATAATTTAAACCTGACAAAACACCTCTAATAATTGAGTCTAAACAAGCGAAGTCAAGCTGGCAAATTATTGCATAGTAAAACAGTTTATTTTACACATTATATATGTACATAGATATGTATGTATTTACAGCATAATTTGCTTAATTCTAATCATATTTGATTGCACTTCTGAAATGATTGTCGTGAATTACGTCTTAATTGCAACAAATTTTACATTTTCATAATATTTCATATCTAATTTCATTGCAAATATTTGTATATTTAGCTGAATTACCTTATTTGAACTCATAAAATGCTGTGTGTATATGTGAAATGTAAGTTAATGCACTATCATTTCACAAATATTGCATTATTTGTTTACATCTTACAAGATATTTTACAAATTGAAGTAAAATATAAAATTTGTTAAAATTGTTTTCTAAATACTGTTCATGTTTATTAAACATTGAAGTAGTGTTGTTCTGGAAATGTTTTTAAAGTAAAATTGTATTATATACTTTTATTATTTATTCGGTAGAGCACGTGAGGCTTTGCGACAATGTCTTCCAGATCAACTGCGTGATGCGACATTTTCAGTATGTCTCCAAGATGACAAATCCACCAAACACTGGCTACATTTACTAATTAAAAATTTGGAGCTGGGTGTTGTCGCACCCACAGACCCGCGTCAAATCGGTATGTCACCATTGACGTCATAAACAGCAGCAGCAGCAGAAAACGCGCCGTCTAAAGTACATGTAACTACATATGAAGTGCAGCTAAAAGTGCTGTTGTTGTATGATAAGAATTGTACGCGCAGCGCAGTCCAAACAACCCAGCCAAGTATACAACAGAGACTACAGCCCCAACTAACTAGTTTAAAATAGTGAATACGCAAGTTACAAATAAAATAACTTTTTACTTAAAAATTGTAATAACCAATTAAAAGCAAAACAAATCAAACACAATATAACAAAGGAATACGTAAATACTTAAATACACAACACAAACACACACTATATCTACAAAAAAAAAAAAAAAACAAATACTTAAAAGTCGTGATAGAATTTGCAACAATACGAATGCATTATAAAATAAATAAATAATAATTATGATAATAAGGATAAAATATATAAAATGGAGACTGTTTATATGATAAAAACCATAAAACAAAAACAAAAATACGGGTTTAAAAAAAGCCCAAAAAAGAGCGAAAATAAATAAATTACTGATGAAAATTATAAGGAAATTTATGTAGAAAATGAGTGAATATTAACTAAATTATGTAATAATTAAGAAATGGCGGTACCTAAAAAATTTAAATCGAAAATAATAAATAATAAGTATCTAATTTATATAGCTATAACTTTGAAATTTGCTGTAACAAAAATGCTGATTTCATTGCTTTTTGCCACATGTAATCAAAGGCGAATGAACTCTCTCTGAGATTAGATAAGAAACTCAAATGGATTGATTTTCTATTTAAAGTAAAAATAATCATAAAATTGGCTGTTAAGTAGATCTACCCAGATGTGTATACAGCATGCAGATACATACTTACACGTAGTTGCAATAGTATCGAACGAATATTAAATATAAAAACGAACATAGTTTTTGTTTTCAAAGTTAGCTTCAACTTGCGCGACTTACGTAAACGGTAGAAGTAGAGGAAACTGTATTTTAATTTACGTGTGCAACAAGAATTTCATATACTTTATATTGATTGAAAGGAGTTTTGTACCACAGTCTAGCAATTAATGAAATATATGTTTTTAAATGAACTTTGTATATATTTAGGCAATAACTGTGAACTAAAACATAAATGAATGCACGGGCTCATGCATAAAGGGTAACATAAAGTCAATGAATTATACTCCGTAACATTTTAAGACATATGCTGTCAGTAATTTATCATTCAAACTTACAACTGCAACAACTTGAAACACTAATCATACATTTTCGACTAAATGCCTTAAATTTTGTCTTCAAGTGACAAAAAGGGTGATTAAATCATGTCACCCGAATAGTGGAACAGTAATTCACTAAACGATGTGTTAATTATGCTTTAAGGTATCAAGTTTATTTTTTTTTTTCAAAGACGTTAACTCGCACAGCAACAACGTTATATTGTATAATTGTAAAGCCACATTTTTAATTTCTAATAATCATAAGCCAATCTATGGATCGCTATGTCCTTATAACTAGTGCATATAACAGAAATTGTATTAAGTTCGGCATACATTCATTTACACATACATATATACTGCATTGTACTCTACCATTTGTATATGATTTCTCAATAATCTCTCGAGACTTAATTAAGCCCGCTTTACAGGGACCTTTTTGATTGTGAATTGTTGATATCATTTGTAAAAAATATACACTTAAGCAGTTTGATATATTTTAATATGTGAAGCCAATATTAGTCGCCTTTATTTGTACATTACAAGCATTAATATATTAAAATTGTTTTAGCTTAAAATATTTGCCAAAAAATAAAATTTAGCTATAAATGCAATTAAAATATTCAAAAACTCATTTTTTGCTTGCAGTATGTGAATGGAGGTAGTGGACTGTATTTCCAGTCCAGTAAACCTGAAACTTGTTTGTAGTTTTGCTACCACATTCCGAGAAAAATATACACACAATTTTGACTTTCAAATTCGAAGAAAAATATACTTATAAAAGTTCTTAAAGCTGAAAACGAAAAAAAAAATACTTTTGCACATTTAAAAAAAATTGTTAAAATAGCAAATTGCATTAATTATTATTTTCAGTACATCAACACTGTTGATAATAGAAAAACTATTTCCTTCCACATTATTGTGGTGGGTCAGATCATAACATTAAATATCAGAAAAAATGAAAAAATCTTAACAACTAGTAGCTTTGAAATGTTTTTAAAACGACATATTCATTCATTTCATAAACAAATGTATTTTTCATATGAATTGCATATGTTTTATGTACTAAACATGCAAGTAAATTTTAATATTTTCGAGTTTAGTAATACTGCAATTAGCCAACAAATGTTTTTCTAAGCATCAGTACCAGTGATTTAAACGTTTTTCAATAATGGGAATGCAGACACTTTGTTCAAATACTAGTTGGTAATGAATGGAGCTTTTTCCAACAAATACTTTCCAAAATTATCTACAATTTCTATTAAAGTCCGGCCGTAAAGTCAATTGAAAGATATTATTTGTGAATACCAGCATGTATGCTGCAATAATAAATAAAAGAACTGTTCTAAATATTACTGGGTAACAATTAATAATAAATTAAATAATATATTTGAGTTTAGGAAAATTAATATGAAAATGCATAGCAAATCTAAGAGTATTTATGTATGTAAGTAACTAAAGAGAAATAAGATTATTCACATGTCTTTGCTAAAGTAAAATCGTATTTAAAATAATGTACTATAATTAAACGACGTTGAAAACTGTAACTGCTGCATATTGTGATTTTTTTTTTTAATTTTTGTACAGTATCTATGTGCTGTTGATTGATGCTATTCGGCTCAAAAGCTCTATCACAAACTTGTGCGACACGCATTTTTTCACTTCCATGAGCTTGGCAGAGTACGACAAACAAAACTTATAAGGCTAAATGTGAATTTTAGAAAATTATTGAAAGCATACATGTTGAATAGAAGCATTTTTGAGAGTGAATTACAAATTTTATACACACATTTTTAAACTATTTGATGAACAAGCGTATGCCACTATAACTGAAAACCTTTTCAACTGCCGCAAAAACATCATTGAACTAGTTGTATGTGCACAGTGTAAAGTTTTAGCTGTCGAATTTCATAAATTCGAAAACTTAAAATCTAACACCCCACAACTTCGCATCATATTAATTTCGTATGTGATTTATTTATAAGTATTGGTCGTTATCCTAATTAAAATCTCTTATGAAATAAAAATTTGTATCCTTGTTAGTCATTATTATTTCAACTTTTAAGTAACATACTAAGTAAGCAAATACTTAGATTAGATTACTTACAAATACTTTGCTTGGCGGCAAACGCACTTTTGCGCACAATGCATTCAATACTTTTAGCTGCAAAACATTGTAATATAATTGAATAATTTTAAACTTTAAATTAACTTTTGATAGTTCATTTAAGTAATTTGAAATATTGTAGAAATTCTGTTTAGTTGAAAGAAAACATTTATAATCTCCTTAAAAATTAACTTGTCTACTTACATTTGAACGTTAAACTAAACATGCGAACTAAAGTGTATAGTTCGTGTTTACGTATGTATGCATGAATATGACTTGGGTTATGTTGTAACCTGTTGTAGGATAGATGTAATGACAACATAAATTGTAAACTTATATCATTCTTTGTAAATTGTTATTAGAAACCAGCATCCTAACTAAGTTAAGTTTAATATATATAAATATTTTTCTCATAACTGGGCAATTTGAAAGCACACAAAGCTACTATTGTGTATGTTGACATATTACTTGTGGTAGTTTTAGCCATTTATCTAACATTACCTTCATACCTAAATCGAAAATGTAACATATACTTTAAATATTCTTATCTTTTTTAAAATTAATACCTAATTTAGCTTGTATTTGTATACATAATTAACTATTTTATATAAAGTTTGAATTACTACTTATTATATAACTACATATTCATGTCACATTTATATTTATTTTAAATGTTTGTATTAAAGATTAATCGTGCGATTTGCCGAAATTTTAAATTTTCAGTTGTTTTTGTTTTTTTTGGTAATTCAAATTTTCTTCATCAGCTGCCTCTTAGCTAAGAGCGTGTGTTTTCTAAAAATCAAACTCAGCTTGCGACCGGTGTTGATGGTGCCTGAGTGCATTACATATAAAACATATATATCACACAAATGGATGGATTATCGTATTGCTAAACGTATAAAGAGAATGAAATGAACGTTTTTAAACTGTGTTGAATAAATGAGAATTATTAAATTTATCTATAAAAAGTTGTGTGTTTTAATATGCTGAGATTTTTGGTTTACTTCCTGAAGCGATTACATATGTATTGTATCTTTAAAAACGACATGTTGTTGTTGTTGTAGCAGCAGACTTTTTTTAGAATTTCTTTTTTAAATTCTTAACAAATTTACAATTTCGACTATGTATTAATAGTATTTGTTTTTGAAGCAGCTTTGTCGGTTAAAAATACACGTCTGTCTCGTTTCCGTAGAACGGATATTGATAATAGTCTTTTCACTTGATCTTAATCACGATAAAATGCTTAAAGGACAGTGCTTAGTCTGTTTAATACTGGTAATTTACAAATTCGCCATCAATGTAAGCGTAAACTGCTCATGGAGTAATCTTAGTCCAATTGCGCTATAGATGAAATTGCGCTTAACAATGACCTCAAACAATGCTCTTCTTTCTATGGTTCGAACACGTCTCAGTAATTCGTTGCTTGGACCTTCCGTTAGAACTAAAACTCTGATTTTATTTTACTGAAGGAAAAATTTGCGACTGACGTGCTAAGAAGTCTGTGGGGGTATTTGAGGTGTCCTAATTACGAATTTGAGTTCAAAAATGTTCCATTACGTACAGCTATTTTTGTCATTTTAGTAAATGGTGGTGGTTTGACCTGTACACCCCTTGACTACAGCACAAAAAATCTTACGTGTAAAGAAATTTTTACTATCATTATCGGTTTCAGCAACCCAAAATTAGCAAGAAACAACCTCTGACATCACAGTCGTAAAATGACTGTAAACAAGTGCTATTATCCAGTTAGAATGACAGTATACCACATTTACGTTATGCTTTTGAAAATTTGCTACATTAACCGATATGTCTTAGACATATCTATGTTAATAATACAATATTTTAAATAAGGCTGACCGAAAGGTTTGACCACTTTCAAAAAAAAATAAAAATATTTTTAGTATTTATTTATATGAGAATTGTTTTTATATTATTCGTATTATATTTTATTAGCCAGCTGAATCGTTTGTAACACAACAGAAAAATTAAAATATATTGGAAAGACCATATATTTTCCTCTTTTTATACTGAATTTTACTACTCTTATTCACTTTCGAAAGTGTAGTGTTTTCTGCCATCTCCTGGATATTGCTTCACAGCCACTGGGCGATACATACGGTAGTTTTCCAACCAATAATAAAGAGCAAGGCAACCAGACATTACACCTATAAAGCTGAGCCAATATTGAGAATTTGTAAATCTTGGTCTCTCCGCTTGCGAGTAGCGATCTTCTCCATACAAATCAACGTCGGCATGCAACTACAAACAAATATATCAAATCAAAACCATATTTTCAAAATAATTTTCGTTTCTAAAGTGCTCGAAGCATAATTTACCGTCTCGTGGAGATTGCGCTTATGCTCAGGAAAATCATATGGGTAGTAGGGGTCTTTCGATTCAATACCTAAGCCTTTACCCAAGTCAGGGTAATCACCATAGCCTAGACCGTTGTCGGCATATGGACGATATTCCTCTGGCAAAAGGTAGTATTTTTTTGCAGCCTCAGTCCGCTGCTTTTCGGTTTTTGGAAACTGATCAGGTTTGTAGTCCTTATTCCAACTAGCCACTATAATTAATGTGATTAGTAAACGGTTCACATAAAAAATGGTATTTTTAGCGTTACGTAAACAAAATAAACGAAATGAACTGAATAGTATAGCACCATTTTATCACCCTACCAAATTTAATAACTACTTACTGCCTCTCGCTACATGCTGGAATAAGATGGGATTTGCAGCTTGAAGCTTCTGCGCGGCTTTTAGTGCATTAAATATCGCGGACATGTTTTGGAAATGCTTTATGAACTTGTGTGTTTTTTTCTCCAATAGTACAGCGCTTATTTTTATTTAGTAATCAGATGTTCAAGTGTCAATTTAATTGACGTTTTCTTTTAAAGCAGCTGTTACTTGTGGTGTTGCCAATTTGAGTTTACTGTTGGAAATCGTTCAGAGAACGTCAATCATAGAGAAGGTTCAATTGCGGACATTTTGACAATCGACAAATCATGAACCTTCTCTATGATTATTTTTTTTATTAGGACTGTGACAGATGTGACCAAGATTTACAAAAACAAATTTGAGCTGTGAGGTCATATGCCATATTGTTTCTGTTTCTATGCTGCCTGCAATCAATTTATAGAGTATGACGTCACGTTGGCGCAATCTTATTTTTATCATTCTTGGTTTCATTGGTGTTTCATTGGCGTTAACCGAAAAATCAAAACAATTCAATGAATGAATTCACGAAAAGATGATTAATTATTAAAATGAACATTAGTTTTGATTTATGTTACGATGACAAATAGTTGGGGCCAGAACTGATGGGCTGCGCATCAGAAAAAGCTGTCGTGATCACTGATATACATTGGAAGTTCCTAACTCCAAGTAATATCATGTAAACAAACAAATAAATTTAAAAGCAATGCATCTGAATTCACCTGGCAATTGACTTCCCAAAACATGTGGTCACGAGTCTGAATTATGTGCCAATTTTAATTAAACGAACCGTTAGTTGTATACATACCTTTATCCAAATAGACCTTGTTGAATTTACTCCATATAGACTAGTCTTATTGCTAGGCGCTGAAAATCAAAAAAAATGCGACCATTATATCCATCAAAGGGATATTAATAAAAATAAAAAAACTTTTATAACAAAGCTCGACATTGTAATGTTTTCTTTTATAAATATTAAATGATGTGAATTAATGCCAAAAACAACTGTTGTATAAATCTCCAAGGGCAGTGAGAACAGTCTAGATTAGTGAATAGATTAAATGTTATTTAATCACTTCAAATTTTTTGATATAAGTCATAGTTTTATTGATAATTAATTGACTTTTAAATAATTTTTGTTGCAGATTCATAAGTTATTTTCGTTAAAATAAGGAATAATTTTATTTTTTGTTAAATGAGATGAAGGAACATTACCACAAACTCTCCGTGTCTGCATTTTAAATGATTTTAATTTTGGGTTGAAGCAAGCTACGATATCTATGGTTGTTACAAAACCTTTAATATGTGTATTATGAACAACATATTTGTCCACAGTGGATAAAACACAAATGACTGAAGAGGAGCAAAATTTTATTTTACCCAAAAGTATATTACTAGGAGTAGTATATTGTTTTGACCCTTTATGTTTGAAACACTTCTCACGGTCCCTTCATTTTATTTTTACTGTTTCCAAACCGTATCTTGCCTCGACTGGTTTCAGGATTTTATTCCACGAGTTCAACAAGTTCTTTTTATCTAACTGATAAAAATAGTCCAAAATTATAAATAAAATAGTTTTTTTAACCCATTTTCTACTAATATTTTTCTTAAATAAACGCAGTAATGTTCAGTTGCAACTGCTTGGTAGCAGTTGGAATTTTTTGATACTCTAGTTGTTGTTGTTGTTATAACGATTATCTAATCCCCGTTTGGGTGATAAATTCTAGATTCGTTTTCGTCGAGGTCATCTAACGGAAGGCCCAGGAAACGAGCTGTTTCGACGGGGTCGGACCATAGGGAAAGGGGTGTTAGATGAGTGGGGTTTGTTGGGCATGCAAAGAGGTGGTTAGTGTCATGCGGAGACTCATTGCATGCAGGACATGTGTTTGGTATGTCAGGGTCTATTCTGGATAGGTAGGAGTTTAACCTGCTACAGTATCCAGAACCGGAAGCATACGGGCCTCGCTATGTAGGTGTTCGATTGGGGACATCAAGAGGCACCCCGTGATAGTCCAGAGTGCAGTGTTCTGACAAGTCTGCAGCTTCTTATTCTGCGTGTCACTGCATCCAGGCGACCATATTGCGGCTGCATAATTGAGGACCGGCCGGCCGATTGCCTTGTATGTTGCCAACAACGTTTCTTTGTCCTTTCCCCATGAGCTGCCGGCAAGCGACTTGAGGATTTTGTTGCGGCTCTGTACTTTGGCAGTTATCGCGGTCGTGTTAAGTTCCTTGCAGAAAAGAAGCGAGAAAGATCGGAGAGGTAGCCGTTTACTTTTGAACACATGCCATCGATTCCATTGCCCGACGTCAATATCGTACAGTCATCTGCGTACGAGGTCATTGAAATTCCCGCTGGTGGCTGGGGGAGTTTCGAAATGTAGAAATTAAACAGTAGCGGGGAGAGGACACCGCCCTGCGGAACCCCCTGTTTAATTTTCCTGAGTTTGGAGTTTTGACCTCGAAATAGTACGGATGAGTGTCGACCGCTCAGGTAGTTCATGGTCCACCGCTTCAGCCCTGGAGGGAGCGTTGATTGTTCCAGGTCCTCAAGTAGCGTTGCGTGATTGACTGTGTCAAAAGCTTTTGACAAGTCCAACGCTACGAGGATCGTCCTCTCGCAGGGTGGCTTCTGGTTCAGGCCATGAACTATCTGGGCGTTTATGACGCTAAGTGCTGTGGTGGTACTGTGCACTTTACGGAAACCATGCTGATGGTCTGCTAGGCTCAGGTGGTGGGTGAATGACGGGAGTAACAAGGCCTCAAGTGTCTTCACTACTGGGGAAAGGAGAGTTATCGGGCGATAAGACTCCCCTTTGTTGGCGGGTTTCCCAGGTTTCAGCAGTGGGACCACTCTTCCGACTTTCCACACATCGGGTATTTGAAGAGTGGATATCGACAGGTTGAGGACCTTGGTGAGGTAGTTTACTCCCGTTGGGCCTAGATGTTTTAACATCAGCATGTTTATTCCGTCAGGGCCGATGGATTTAGACGATTTCGCCTTTTTGATGACACTCTGAACCTCCCCATCGGTGAAAGTAAGTGGTGCGCAGTCTTTTGGCATTTTGCGCAGCCGTCGGGTAACACATCGTTTGGCCTTGTCGGTCGAAGGGTGCAGTATAAACTGCCGGCTAAAGTAGCTCGCGCACTTCTTCGGGTCCGAGGAGGCATGGCCATCGAATTGGATTTCAACCCGATCGTCATGTTTCCTCGGATTTGACAGGGCCTTGACAGTAGTCCAAAGCTTACTCACACCGGTGGAGAGGTTGCAGGACTTCAGGTGCTCTATCCATTTTGTCCGCTTATGATGGTTTACCATTTGCCGAATCTCCAAATTGAGATCCCTTATTCGGGGATCACAGGGATCGGCATGGCGTAAGGTGTCGCGCTCATTTGCTAATACAGCTGCTTCGGCTGGGAAATTAGGGCGGAGTTCCGCTATTCTTCCAGCCGGTATGAAGCGAGCTGTAGCAGCAGCGATCACCTTGCGGAATTGACGCTCGCCAACGATGACGTCCGTAGGAATGGATAGTGCGTTGAAGGTGCTCTCAGTAAATTCTGTGAAGCCGACCCAGTTAGCTTTGTTAAAGTTAACATAGGTGCGGTTATCCACAGAAATAAAGTCAGGAGGTTTCTCGATCGAGATAGTTATGGGCAGATGGTCTGATGCAAGAGTTAGCATAGGTCGCCAGGTTATACTATTTATCAGACCACCGCTAGCGATGGTAATATCTGGCGAGCTATTACAGGTGCCCATAATTCTGGTGGGGGCTTCGTCGTTTATTGTGCAGAATGTCGAATCGTCTATCTGTTCCGCCAGCTCCATCCCCCTACCATCGTTTGAAAGGCAGGAATGCCAAAGATCGTGATGCGCGTTAAAGTCGCCTAGCACCAGACGGTTTTCACCACGAAGTAGCGCATCTATATTCGGGTGATATCCTGTTGGGCAACATGTAACTGGGGGGATGTATATATTAAATATTTCGAGCTCGACATCGCCTGACCGGACAGCTATACCCTGACATTCTAGGGTGGTGTCCCTGCGGTCGATGTCAACATCGATTAGACGATATTGCACTGTGTTGTGCAATATGAAGGCTAGGCCTCCACCATTATCCCGCTCGCGATCCTTACGTAAAACGTTGAAACCTGCACAACTCAGAAGATCTGAGCGGCTGTTTAACTTGGTTTCTTGGACCGCAGCTATCGTTACGCGCTCCCGGCTCATAAATGCAACTATCTCCTCGATCTTGCTCTGGAGTCCGTTGCAGTTAAATTGTAAGAGTCGCGTTTGTCGCGGGTGTCCAGTCGTGATCCTGGGGGTGAGTGGGGTGCGTGTAGGTGGTGGTTGTTGCAGCTGTGCTATCCGCATGGGCGGTTGTCGCACTATGGTTTTGGTTGGCGACGCCACTGTTTGTGATTGCGGGGGCAGACTCCCACAGCATGGGGCAACATACGACGCACTCCACTCTCGTGTGGTGCGCAGGCCAGAACACGACAGAAAGTGACACCAGCCAGTACAAGAATTGCACTTGACTGATGTGACATTCCGGCGTATTATGGTCTGACACACGGAACAGACTGTGCGAGGAACCAGGAGTTGCTGTGTGGTTCTCGCACGGGGATTGGAGCTGGATGAAGGTTGGGGGGGGGGGGGGGGGGGGGGGGTGGTCAGATTGGGAGTTATGCTGTCTATGTGAGCTCCTTAGGACCGTGGAGGTCCTATCTTGGCCACTCGACTGGAGTGGCAGCGCAGTGCGCGAACATGGTGCAGGCTGCACGGCCGTTGAGGCAGATGTCGCATTATTGCGTTGACAGCATGGGGCCACGTAACTCGTGGCCCACTCCCTGTGTGTCTTAAGGCCCGAGCAGGTCTTAAGATGGCTCCATCCATTGCATGTATTGCACCTAACCGAGGTGGAATTTGGATGGAGCCTTTTTGCGCATACGCAGCAGTAGAATACCTCGGGGCCCGGGTTGGACTCGATGCCAGCACGGGTCAGGAGGATACGGAGCAACCCTGCTGCTAGGCGTTGCTCCAGTGACGACAAACTTAATCTAAAACTTACCGATCCAAACTAACCCTGTTTGATCGTCGAAATAACAGCCCTTGGCCGGATAAAATCCGGGTCAATTCCGGTATCGCAGAACCGGCTGTTGTGGGAATTGTACTCTATTTGATACTCTAGTCAATTCCACTGGCACAGAGTTGAAAACCGTAAAACCACAAAAAAGTTGAAGTTTGGCAACACTTCAACCGAAATTTGTTTTGACGGGTTGAGATGATATCGATAATATCGAATTTCAAAACTTCAACCAGAAAGTAGTTGGGTTGCAAACCGTAATAGGGTCTTTAAGCAGAAAAGGCAAAACTATACATTTATTCTAATTATTAATCTAAAAAAAAATATAGTGTGAATTTTCGGACTTTACTTGTTCCAACTGTTCGTCAATTCGTTAAAAAGTCATTAAATTTTTACTAGAATTATTAATTACTTGGTGCTCGGAAATTCTAAGGGAGTTTCCCATTAATCGGTTTTTTAATGCTATGTAAAATTGGTCATTTTAGTTCACTATCAGTACAACTTCAACTGAAATTAGTTGTATTCCGTAATGCGAAAAAATTGTTTAAGTGAAGTTTTTCCAATTGCAATTCAATTGTGTCGATATATGTATACATAACAATACACAATCTTGACATATATTGGGTTATAATTTGGGTTTTCAGTCGGAAGAAAAAATATAACCAAATTAAAAATTTATTCTGAAATGAATCCAAAATATTATAAGCACTAAACTGATTTAAGTAAGAGCGAGTGCATCATGAAGCCAAAGCGAGGAATGTCTTTGCGAAATTTAATTGAGGAAAGTTACTTTGTATATGGTATATAATATAAACGAACTAACCATATTCGCTAGACATGGCTCAGTGTGACTTTTTCCTATTTCCAAAAATAAAGAGAACCGTAAAGGGCCATTGTTTTACAAGATGAAAACCGGTGAAAGAGCTAAAGGCTATCCCAAAAAGTTTGGGCAGTAATTTGACGATTGGAAGAAGCGCAGACATAAGTGCATAATAATAAATGAAAACTTTTTTGAAAGCGACAACATTATTGTAGACGAAATATTTTGTTCAAAAAACGAAAATTCCCATAATTTTTTTAACACACCTCGCATATAGATATGTACCATATAATCACCTAATTTGATGGAATATTATTTTAATGTAGGTAAAATCTTACTATTTAAGTAGTAATAAGTACATAATATAAATTTATTTTTATAAATGGGTTATAAATATATGCACACACTTGAAAAATAGTATGGTTTGGTAGAGTATAGTAAGAGTATATATATGTAAAGGTTATTTTCTAAGCAATTGTTTTAATAAATTGAACATGAAAATTTATGATTTAAATGGCCAACGGCGACGTTCGGTATTTTCCTTCTCTCTATCGACCTTCCAATGATTTGGGTCCATCAGATACTCGCTTAAGTGAAATATATAAGAATATTTATATATATGTACATATATATATATTACATATTTTATACATTTTAATATTAGCTTGAGCTTATCTGACTTACCGCTTGCGAAATAACTCCGTTAGAAGTTGTGCCTTTAGATCCGCCAATTTGCCACCATTTCCGCCATATTCCTCCGGTAATATACTACGAGGCACATGCTCGTACAAACTATCCAAGCTATCGGTATGGAAATGAATCTTTTCGGATAATAATTATGATTGTTATAGATATATTTTAAAAGGAAGCTAATATCAAATTCAGTAGTTTACCAATTTGAAGACTTCACGACTGATAAATGGTTTCATGATGCTCACTACTTTATCCAAATAGGACGGACAATTGATAATATGTATGGCTTTTAAGTGCACGGGTAGTGCCTCTTGTAGGAACGCCATGTATATACGCAGTGTGCTGAAGGTCATCTTACTCAGATGTTTCAATGTATAGCCGTTCATGTCGAATATTTGCACTTCACCGCTGGCAAATGTTTCTAAATGTCCCTCGGTGGAAACGTTGCCATCATACATATTGAACCGACAATCAGAGACCATGAAAAATGCTTTAGTATCGGCGCTGTGATTGACCTGATTGACACATATACAAACAATCAAAATGTTCTTTAGAATAGGTAATATTGTCCAACTAACCTTTCCTGGATCCATGTCAACCATGCGATAACAGCTCACTTTGTAGCCCTCTGATGTAAGTCCAGGAAGTGGCACCAAATCTCTGTTAAAGTGTGGAAAAAAACAAGGAACGTGAGAACATGTATATATGTAAGTATGAAGCAAGAATGGAGGAAATAGAGATCACGACAGTTTCGTCCGCTAGTTTTTTTGGATCACATTTGACAGAAAAATGTATTGCTTCGTGACGTTATCAACAAAAGGGGGGAAAACTTTGTTTACAATTACTATGGAGGTTTGACAATTCGTTTCGTTTATGACGTGTCGCAATCAATCTATTATATGTTGTATGTATTTAATGGTACTCACGCATAATCAAATGTTTGCTTGCTATCCGGATCGGTTGGGTCACGTTCCAAAAAGATGTGTGGGTGCTTATTCCGCAAACTGTAGTTAATTTGTATAAGCTTTTTGGTGCCTTTTAAGTCACCGTACATGCATCTATAGAAGCGTTTCAAAAGTACGCGATCTGAAAATAGTTGAAACATTTTGACAATTCCAAATTAGTTTATTTCATATATGTATGTAAATTTAACTACATGTGTTGAATACATAAATACAATATCCGCCAGCTCCATAAAAGCTTTTGTTTTACTCTCTGACAGAAAAATATCTTAGTTTATGTCATAATGAACGTAGACTCTGCTTACAACAAATTTTTACAGGCTTGACAATTAATAGTTTTAAGGGAGTAGGGAGTTTTAGGGAGTTACAAAACAAAGTCTCATATTTAAATAATCGGTAAATGGTTTTAAGTATTAGCAAGACAATTTTTTATTGAGCGGTGATTTTGACAAAGTTTCAGCAGTTATAAACTCAAAAAACTGTTCAAATTTGATGGGATTAATTTACACAGATAAAGATTTTGGAGGGTAGAAGAAGGAAGATTTCTAAATCAGTTTTTGTAAAAAATAAGCCGGACCCCAGGTATAAAATAATTTTATGCTTTATGGATTTTTCTTCAAGAGTAAATCACATATCAAACTTTTGCAGATGATGGGATTGAGTATGCATAACAGTTTGCATATACACATAGCCAATAAAGTCTGCGTTCACCCGACACATTTTTTTATGTGAAGTAAAAACACAATGTAAATAGGTAATTCAGTTCAAATTTTCTGCATGTATTTCTTCTTTATATTCTTAAGTTCAAAATGCAAAAACAAAAATGTATATTCCTATTTTAATTTTTGTGATAACGGGATTTTAGTATAAGAACAAGTAAACATAGGCACCATTAAGTCTGCGTTCAGTTAGCTTAAATTGGAAATACTTCTCATGAATTTGTTCGTTCTTTTTGCGTAGTTGTAATTGTGTTTTAATATAATTAGTCGTTTAATGTAAGTATGTATGTACATAGAAAAGCTGAAATCGCTAAACTGAAATCATTTAAAAATAATATTTCAGCATGTGTATTCACAATCACAAGACAAAATGATGTAAATTTAAATGTAAAATCATAAAGAGAAAGGTAGGTAGGTAGAGTGGCTGTGTGACGACGCACCTAGGCCTAAAGGAGGCCCATTGTGATACCACCGGGACTAATGTTCCCTCACTCTGTTGTCTATTTTCTGAACCAACCCGTGCTTCTGATGAAGTTCATCAGTATGAATACGAGACGTCGTCCAGGAACCCTCAACCAATAGTTGCGATTTTTGTCCTGTATAGAGCCGTACATTCGCATAGAATATGTTTTACAGTCTCCTCTTCTTCTACCTCCTGACAGCTTACAGCTCATTGTAAGTTGCACCTAGCCTGCTAGCATGTCTATCAATTATGCAGTAACCTGTTAGCAATAATACCAGAGTTCTTATGTCATTCCTTTTTAATTTTAATAGTCGGTTTGTGCGGCACATATTCCACTCCTGCCACGATTCAAAAGGAGTCAAGAACTTTCCTTATTTAGAGTATAATTTCTGTATTGAATTGAATAAATAATAACATAAACAAACGAATAATTACGAATTAATAACATATTTTATAATATACTTGTTATGTGTGTAGCAGTTCTTTTGATTTCGTTTATTTCTGAATGCATATCTGTTATCATATTTTTAAGTTGAAATGGATAAAATCCTAGCTCCCGAGCTAGGTAAAATTTTGACATTCAGATTTACCACGAAAAACGTGAAAATTGAATGAATGAAACGAATTTTCATGTTTCTACCGTTTCGTACACAGCTTTAATAACAAATTGAATTCATAATACTGCATTTTTTTTAATAAAACTGGAATCCATAAGTACATATGTATGTATGTATATAATGTTCGGCCTGATCTTATTTCAGCCAACCCTTGCTTATTATACCCTGAACAGGGTATATTAGGTTAGCTGCGATGTTTGATCTGTATACCTGTTTACGCATATTTTATAAAATATATACCTGTGAAGGGTATTATAGCTTCGGTGCAGAAGAAGTTAACGTTTATGTTTTGTTTTTTTAAGTTAGAGAATCCGTATAGCTTTATGTCCATATGTACATTTAACGTTTTATTATTGTCATCAAACTAAAATTAACAAGTAAGGAAGGGCTAAGTTCGGGTGTAGCCGAACATTTTATACTCTTGCAACTTGCAAGATTCAAAGCCAGTAAGAAAGGGCTAACTTCGAGTGTAACCGAAGATTTCATACTCTTGCAACTGGCAAGGATCATAGCTGGGGAAATACCTTCAGATGTTGGTAAAACTTTATATTAAAAAATATTGCGAAAGTATTAAACATTCATTATTCGATAAAATCGCGAATAAATAACAATCAAATTTGGTTGACTTTTATTGAAGGCCATTAAGTCTAAGATAGTATTGCTATCACGTCAACTAAAATTATTTTGAAAACACCTTCAATTAAGATATACATATGTATGTATAATATGTGATATTAAAAGGACCGAACCGGCTTAATTTATTAATTAATATATTGAGTTGATGTGGAAAACCAGAGGATCGGAATTCATTATATATAGGATATGAGGTTTAGTCCAATGTATAGATCAATTCCATTGTAATTCAGCGCTAGGCCCCATAATTTTTGAGAAAACTTGTTCACTTAATTTCACACATTTTTAACAAACTAAGACAGACAGGTGGAAAGACGAAAATCATTTTACGAGGTATATTGGCGATAGATAAAGGGACGGGCTGTATTAATTTTGACATTGCTCAGGTACACTCAGAACATATTTTGAAGCAATTTTATATATGAATAATACTCACGACACATTCGGTATTAAACTTGTTAGAATAACGAAAATTATTACAAGCAGTATATGGGAGTTGGGGGTAGTATTAATCGGATTTTATTAATTTTTGCCAATACCACTTACCACTAACATGCCACAGACTAATAAAATACTCCCACGGTTTCATTAAGGTACCTCACATACCATTTCCAATCATATACAGTAAAGTCAGCCGGATGTTCGAAAATCTTGGCATTAGTTATATCGGGGCTAGGTCAAATTTTCGCCGAATTTTATCCACACAAAGATACACTGTTATGAGTAAAACTCTCGAATTTTCATTGAGATAACTCACATATTGGCTGATATACTTATGCGGCATAAAGTCACCCGGAAAATTTTTATGTCAAGAAACATGTCTACCAAGTTTCATAAATATATCTCAATTTTTACTCAAGTTAGAGCTTGCACGGACGGACGGACGGACGGACAGACACCCGGATTTCAACTCGTCTCTTCATCCTGATCAATTATATATATATAACCCTATATCTAACTCGATTAGTTTTAGGTGATACAAACAACCGTTAGGTGAACAAAACTATTATACTCTGTAGCAACAGGTTGCGAGAGTATAAAAAGTACAAAACTGTTAATTGTTATAACGAATCAAATTACCTGTTTAACCGATTTCAACCAAACTCCGTATGTAAACCGCTAATGCTATATTAACAAAATTCACTAGAAGCAAATGTTTTTAGCACTTCTATTGACGGTGTGAAAATAGTTGAAATCGGGTGGCAACTCCGCCCACTCCCCATATAACGGTACTGTTAAAAACTACTAAAAGCGCGATAAATCAAGCACTAAACACGCCAGAGACATTAAATTTTATCTCTGAGATGGTATAAATTGGCTTTATAGGAACCGCGTTCAAAATTAGTCAGTGGGTGTGGCACAGCCCACTTTTAGGTGAAAACCCATATCTTGAGATCTGCTCAACCGATTTCAACCAAATTCAGTGCGTAACGTTCTTTTCATGTTTCTATGTCATAGTGCGAAAATGGGCGAAATCGGACTACAACCACGCCTATTGCCCATATAACACCATTTTAAATGCCATCTGATTCTTTCACTTTCCACTATGCAAATCAGACAACAATGACTGTATCGGGATAAAACTTTGCGTGAATAATGCGATTAAAGTATGCCACCTTGTGGCCAAAAATTATCTAAATCGAACCAAAACTGTTTAAGCCCCTAAGTACTAAATATGTGGACCCCATTGCCTATAGTTGACCTTCTACCGAAAATATCAGTCAATCCACAAAGAAATCTCAAACGAGTATACTATTTGACTTTGCGAGAGTATAAAATGTTCGGTTACATCCGAACTTAGCCCTTCCTTACTTGTTTTATGTCAATTTATTGGCTTTAGATTTATGGCATTTTGTGGGCGTGGCAGTGTTCCGATTACGCCCACCTGTAATACCAACCGTCTTTCGGCGCCCAGAAACATGTGTACCAAATTTCATCAAGATATCTCAAGTTTTACCCATGTTACAGCTTGCACAGACGAACGGACGGACGGACAGCCACCAGGATTTCAACTCGTCTCGTCATCCTGATCAGTTATACTTATATATATATAACCCTACATCTAACTCAATTAATTTTGCGTGATACAAACAACCGTTAGGTAAACAAAACTATTATACTCTGTAGCAACATGTTGCAAGAGTATAAATATGCTGATAATATTTACTTTGACTTAGGCACCTTATAAGGTTAAACTGTGAAAGATCAGTCAAAATAATGTAGTAATTACTTTGATAGAACACGTAACGGCAGTTAACACTTAATTTCAAATATGGAACGTTGTGTAGTAAACGTAATGATGTGATTATGATTGACGGATATGCGTAAGAGTTTTGCTATTCACTTCAAATGTAGAGAATATTTAACTCACTTCCACTTTTTTTTATCAAACTTCTGAAAAAAAAATTATGCAATTACATTGAGATGTTAGAAATCACAATTTATGGAATTTTAATAAATTACTTGTATGTGTTGATGTCTGTAAATTAATGAAACAATTGTTAGTTCTTCCGTATACCTTAGCACTCACCAATTTCTTTGGGCAATTTTGGATTTTGTTGAAACCACTCATATAATTCATCAATTTCAGCTTCTTCTGCCGCGTCGAATTTCATTTTGTTTAACTAACTGATTTTCAAACTTTAAAAATTAATATTTTCTTTAGTTAAGACGATAGGGATTAATTCTTGTACTTTATGTCGTTATCATTTATATGAAAAAATCCTTGCTTCTGTACCTTTCAGTTCCGCGTTAATATTTTCAGTATTGGAGAGCTGCGAAGTCAGTCTCCTACTGAGCTGGATTGCACAAGCTGCAAATTATTATTCGTTTGCGTTTATTTTCAATTTATCTTTTCTCTACTGATTTATAGTCGCCTATATGTGATTATAAATAAATGTGTGCAATTTTCATGTACCTACACCGCCTTTTCGTTTTGTGCTTGTTTGTTGCCTGTTGTACAACTGTGAAATCAATGCTTGGCGCTTCATGAAATAAAACGCTTCTGTTGTTCAGCTTGAGTTGCTGTGCGCTTAAAATTCGGTGCAATGGCCGTTATACAGCGCCGTATTTCCTAAACTTTTAAGTTAATGCTTTTACACTTTTAAATCGTTGTAAATGTTGTTTTCACAAATCGGTATAAATGCATAAATAGTTTGAAGACTTCAGCTAAAAAAAAGTAAATTAGATATCTTAGAACATATGTTTTTTTTTTACCATACATTATTTTATAATAGTCTAACTTCACTCAAGTAGATGTATATTGCTAAAATAAATTTCTTCAGTGTTAAGATAAATTCTTAATGATATTGTCAAGAGCTATTGTTAATAGCAAGTGTTTAGAATTTCGAACATGGTTCCCATTACTAGTCGCGAATATCTAACGGTGTTCTCTCTTGTTGAATTCAAAAATTCGGTTCGACAGCTCAGAATAATACTATAAATAAAATTATTTATTCCACTAAAATAATAATATAATAAAATATATATTTCTCAGCAAAATCAGGACTTAATGTTGATATTCTGACTGGTAGAGCTTCTTTAGGTTTTCATTTCACTTTTTATGTTAGAATTTAATCGGTGTACATTATACAATAAAATACTTAGGCTTTCTTTTTAAATCTGTTTACGTACGATTAAAACTCGGTATAATTTTTTGACCCGAAGAGGGTATATTATGTTTGACATGAAGTTTGTAATACCTAGAAAGAAACGTCGGAGACCCCATAAAGTATATGGCATACTTATATAAATGATCAGTGTGACGAGCTGTGTCGATTTAGCCATGTCCGTCTGTCTGTCCGTCCATATATACCCGAACTAGTATTTCAGTTCTTGAGTCTTTTCTTGCACACATCCTTTTTTCACCAAGAAGCTGCTTATTTGTTGGAACCGTCGCTATCGGACAAATATAGTATATAGCTGCCATACTAACTGAACTATCGGAATCATGTTCTAGTATTGAGAACTTTATCGATTGACATGGTATCATAAAAAAATTGGCGTGGACTATTATTCAAGGCATTACCACAATCTCCGAAGAAATTGTTCAGATCGGACCACCATAGCATATATGTATGTAACTGTCATTCAAATTGCCCGATTAGAATCAAGATCCGTTTTCCTTTTTAGGTAACCTTAAAGTTGGCTATAAAGAACTAGCAGAAAGTTTTCTTTTGGATAGAAACCGTTGGCTAGTTACGTTTTCAGGATTAGTTATACAAATAGTTGGTATAAGGAACGCATCTGTGAAGACTGCACCGAACCTAACATTTTTTCTTGTTTCATTTAAATTTTATTTTCGCAATTTAACAACAAATATACACGCTCAGTAACAAAGCTGTGATGATATGTATCAAATACATAACAACTGTTTCTTCATATGACAGTAGCTACTTTCTGCTGGTAGAAATTTCGCTCAGTGTTTTACGCTCTCAACTTGTGCCCTCTTCTTCTAGTTTCTCCTAGTTTTTTGGTTTAAGAAACGCTTTTTCACCAGAAACTTTGCTAGCTAGTAATAGTGAGCAGGCTTTGATATGCAGTATATATCTATATTTATTCCCTGAAAAATTTATATTAAGTTTGTCACGAAGTTTGTAATGCACCTGTGAATAGTATAATAGCTTCGGTGCAGCTGAAGTTAACATTTTTTCTTCTTTAATTGGGAATGGCTTTAACTTTCAACATACATAATTGAGATATATAAGTAAAAAATACCGCCTTTTAAGCTGGATCAAACTGGACACAGTTTGCTAAATTTAAATAAAATCGGTTCACTAGTTTAGGAGTTCACTCCGGGCAAACAACGTTACACGTGTTTTTTATATACATATTATATAAATATTATTTACCAATAACGGCAAAAACGTTATTGCCGGTACAAGGATTCAGGGATTTTACTTGAAGTTCAATTTTGAAAATGGTTGATACAAAAATTTGTCGATGGAAAAAATAATGAAAATACCATTTGACATTTTTCTCAAAATTATAATTATTATAATTTTTTTTGGAATTTTCTTTAGATGCTTCTATTTAGAAATAAATTATTTTTATTTATGAATTGCTTTTACTTTTAACATAATATTAAACAAGCATATCTTTTAAGTTGGATCAAACTGGACACAACGTGATAAATTTTAATAAAATCGATTCAGTAGATTAGGAGTTTACCTTCGACAAAACGTGATAAGTAATTTTTATGCATATATAAATTATATTTGTACATACAACAGTAACAAAATTCTTAATACAATTTACTCTGCATACACCTATATACATTTATCCATTTATCTAAGCTTTTCCATTTTAAAAACATCAAATTGCTATAAACAGTTCTTCAAACTGTTTTAGGTAATAATGATTTTTTAAATATCTTGTGGATGTGAGAATTTTCAAAAAAAATACCAACGTCGCGAATTCTGTGATGGATCCATTTTCCAATGCCTTTCATCCATCAGGTAATCCCTGAAAGACGATTAACAAATAAATAGGGAGCTCACGTGTGAAGTTTATTAATAATTAACAACTTGCCTTTTAACTTTTAATTTATCTGTCCATATTTTCTTTAGATCCGGTATAACACCAGCGTTACCGCCATATTCGTTCGGTAACATATGACGCGGTACTTTTTCATACAAACTATCCATGCCTTCAGTGTGAAAATGTATCTGTTGATTAGAGCATTTTATATAGTTTGAATATAAAAATTAAAATAGCATCCAGTTTCCGATTAACATAAATGGGAAATTTTGTTGATTAGTGGTTGTTCCACGCATAACTTTTCAAGCTACCAAGTGTATTTCTGTTAAAAAAAATTGAAAACCATCAGCCGTGTTAAGACGTTATAAAAATATAATAACCTTCAATGACATCTAGTATAAAAGAAAAGTTTGGTTAAGTTTCTATCAAGAGTTTTAATCGCCAATATCATGGATATTAATGGCAAATAATAATTTTCCAGATCTGAGATATACTTGTATTGTTGGAAAATGTGATCACATTAGCGAAGCAAATGTATTGGAAGAATATTGACCGATATTACACAATTAAATCACGAAGTGATTGTGCAAAGAAGACCTATGATCGGACGATGATCAGAAAAATATTTTGTGAGATATGCAAATTTTTTTAAAAAGAGAGAGGGCATGACCTCTGTTAAATATTAAACCAGATCGAAATGAGAGCACACTTTATTTTCTCAATTATTACACTGTGGTATGTAATACAAAATATTGTCATAGTTTAGTTGGAATAGCTCTAGTTGTTGATGTCTAGTTGACTAGTAGTCGATGTATACATTAAAGTTATTATGCTAGCGAGAATGGCAGGGTCACGTCCAATTTTGAAAACTTTTCAAACCACAAACAAAAAACTATTATACTCTGTACAACCTAATTCGCGAGTATAAAAATTAGAAAACCCAATTTAGTCGGATACTGTAAAAATTATATAATTACCATTTTAAAGACATCCTCGTGTATGAAAGGCTTAACAATAGACAGCATTTTGTTTAAAAATGGCGGGCAATTGATGATATGCATTGCGCGCAAACGTACTGGATGCGCCTCTTGAAGAAAATTCATATACATACGCAATGTCGTAAAGGAAATGCGGGCCATGTGCGATAAAGTGTAATCACCTATGTCACATATCTGTACTTCACCATTAGATATTGAATCATCTTGCAGCGAGTCATCTTCGATTTCACCTGTTTTCTCCGTCTGAGGATCTTCATTCGATTTCTCTGTCTTTTGTGTTTGTGGTTCCTCAATATCGAGATCGGAGTAACGACAGTCGGCTAACATAAAAAAGGCTTTGCACTCTATGATGCTATTCAACTACAATTAAATTAAGAAAGTTATATTTGATGTAACATATTAATCTACATTTTCTAATACCTTTTTGGGATCTGTATCTGATAGCCTAAATAATAATAGCTTATAACCTTCTGGTGTTAGTCCCGGTAGTGGTATCATTTCTCTGTAAAGAGTAGGGAATATGTTATATGCAGAAGATGTCTTTTAAAAATAAATAATACAAGAAAGACAACAATTTTTAGGACTACAGCGAAAATGACGGATTTGTTTGCGTTTGAATTAGTAGATGAAACATATTAAATTGTCGTAGTAATCGTTTTCATGACATCACAAGCCCACTTCCACAACTGCAGTTTTAATCTTTCCCGGTGAACGCCGATTGTGGGAAAACTGAACACCCTTAGGTTTCTGATGATGATTCTGCTCTGGCCTGCCATCCATACTAGTACAATCCTGGGTAGGGTCAGTTAGCTCAAGGCTAGCATCCCCGACCTGCTGCGCTTCGCATTCACTGCTCATTTTATACATTTATCTATTTGTACCAATCAAAATGCTACTATGAATTATCCGAAAGCTGGACAATTTGTAAAGGCGTCTATTGAGGGTTAGGTTTCTAATAAAAACGATACAAACTTTTTATCCGAATTGTTATTTGAGAACTTAACTAAAGACTCTACATAAGTACTTTTAATTTAAAATTTAATTTAGTAGTGCATTCTCTTGGAAACTGTCACTGTAATATTAAAATTTCAGTTTGTTCGAACTAGTAGTTTTGTTTTGACCACGTTTGGAAACGGGTGTGTCCGCGGAGTTTATAATAGTGAAAAGACAGCAACATCGGTCGATAGTTCAGTTATTGTTTTTAGAAAGGGAATTGTTTTTAGAAAGAGCTAGCCTGTCTCTACTGTGTTTCAATGCTATGTTCAGATGACTAGAAAACGCCAGAGGATACTATGTTTATAATTACTTATTGGACTCCATAACTAATTGGACAAAATTTACTTACACCACATCTTGTATGGCTTTGACAGCTTCATCGGCGGGATCACGGTGAAGAAATATATGTGGGTTCCTATTTCGTATTGAGAAATTTAATTCAATAATTTTTTTGGTTTCCTTCACATCATTGTACATGCATTTAAGAAAGCGCCGTAAAAGAATGCGATCTGGAATATAATACAAATATTTAAATACTAAATAATATTGTAAGTACATATGTGACTTAAAGCTGGTAAATAAAAAGAAAGGATCCAAAGCTCCATTTAATTGAAAGCGAAAATTGCATGCATAGTCATCGGTTTATTTATTCAAGTACACGGTTGCTCAATTAAATTATTCACGCTTTTTGATTCAAGTTCGCAGTGACAGAAATGTACAAGTAATAAATTAGTGCACATTTACAGTTCTTAAATGTACTGAGGGTGTATAAGGTACTTCAATGGATCATAAGTTGCATTGTAAATAGCGCTTTATATCTCATATAAGTTAGACTAATCTAGAACACAATTAATTCGAAAATGGAAAAATATGCTTAGCCGCCGTGTTCGAATCACTCATAATAATTGCTTATTTTTGTTAGCTCGTAAATGATTTTGGAAAACGTAGAGTTTACTGACAACATTCTGTTCCGTTAAAGTTCGTATAAGATAGTATAAAAAGTATTATCATCACATTTGGGATGTGTATCAACGCTTAAAAGCAAAACGTGGTATTATAACATGTAAATATGTACGAGGTGTGTTCTGAAAATAACGGGTATTTTAAGATTTCGCGGGTTTGGAGAGTTCAATTGTCAAAACTTTCTTTATGTTGATATACATGCCCCTGAAGTACGATAAAATGTTCAGCTGTATTCATTGCTACGTTTGTTAAAAGCTCACCTGTTCGTGAATTTTTGGCTAAAAACAATACCGTAACGATACCCCAGCTCCACATTCACCAGACATGGCTCCGTATGCCTTTTTCCTACTTCCAAAAATAAAGGAAACCTTAAAGAGCCGTCGTTTTGAAGATACGTTGTTTAGTAGATGAAAATCGGTAAAAGAACTAAAGGCTATTCCAGAAATCGCTCGCTAGCATATTTAAGTGCATAATATCGAATGGAGACTATTTGGAAGGTGACAACATTAATGTAGACGAATGAATAAGTTTCTTTTTTGTCAAAAAATTAATATTCTCGTTATTTTTTGAACACACCTCCTATCTACAGATTTAGTATAAAAAAGTAGTTTATATTTTTTAATATAAAAATCCGTTAGTACATATATATTCAAAACAAAAATAATAATTATGTATTTGCTTACTCGTGCGATTCATCTAATAATTGGTAAAAAAATCTCTCGATTATACAAAGAGACAAACACATGGCCAGAACGTTACAGTCAATCGTGATCGGTATAGTGCCATGATTACTAACTTTTGCATTCCTGAATTGAACAACCATAATGTCCAGGAGCTGTGGTTCCAACAAGACGGCGCAACATGGCACACAGCTCGTGCCACAATCGATTTATTGAAAGACACGTTTAGTGACCGCCTAATATCACGTTTTGGACCTGTGAATTGGCCTCCAAGATCTTGTGATTTAACACCGCTAGACTACTTTATGTGGGGTTTTGTAAAGTCATTGATCTATGCGCATAAGTCACAAAAGCTTAACCATTTGGAAGACAACATTGGCCGTGTTATTGCCGATATACGGCCACAAATGTTGGAAAAAGTCATCGAAAATTGGAGGTCCAGATTGGACTACATCCGAGCCAGCCGTGGCGGTCATATGCCAGAAATCATACTTAAAATGTAATGCCACAAGATTAGCTTTCGGATAAATAAAATTTATGCCAATCGAATAATCCATCGTTGTTTTATTGCAATTTAAAGTATTATACCTCTAAAAAAAACACCCGATATAAGATTGTTTCCTTACATACAAACACATGCCTGTCCATTGATATATATTGTATTACGAGTATATCATTATTTCACCATTTGATTAAGTTTTGCGGTTTCCATATACATAAGTACATACGAGATAGTTTGAAAGGTTAGTTTTTTTTTATCAAAATTCAATTCTGTTATTTAATGGTTGCTATCAATCAAGTTTTCGATACCATTTCTGAGGTACGATTTGTGTTTTGCTTCAAAACAGTCCTCCGTATCGGCGATTATCTCTTTATTTTCACTTAATTATTTTCCAGTGAGCATTCTCCAAGAGTCTTAAGGGGAGGAAAAAATCGCAGAGGGGTAGCAAGTCGCAGCAAATTCAAATAGTTTTGCCATCGTTTATCATTGATTTGTAATACAGCCTTTTCCTTTCAATATCAGAAGTATAATATAAGTAAAATTTAACTAATTTCTTTCCACGTTTCGGTATTGCTATATCCCGATGTAAAAAATCGGGGTTTTCATGATATGTCTAACACCTTGCTTTAATATTATTTTCTTGGATCACTCAAAATGCCTATATCTTACGACCTGCTTTACATATATATATTTTATTAAAATTATTTAAAATCATAATTTTTTTTTTGATAATTTCTTTTAATATAGGCGCAATATTGGTTTTTACATATCTTATAATTTTTATAACGTTTTTCAACTGCTTCATTGCTTTATTTCTACATTTCATTCGTGTTGATTTGACACACATACCGATTTGTTCCGGTAATTTTGGATTTTCTTTGAACCATTGTTCCAATTCATCCAATTTCTTATTCAGTTGCTGTCCAACCATTTTTGATTTGACTATCGAGACACTCACTATCGCTTTGTTTATATGTATTTTCAGACGTGGATTATAATATTTACAGATTTACGTCGCGCTAAAAGCTTGCACAACCACCGCTTTCTCGGACGCTGTCACTATTGCAACTGACCAGATAACGCTCACGTTTGAATTTACATCTGAGCTGATTCCCAACTACCGTTCAATCTCACGAGCGGTTCGCTTAGCGGTGCGATTAGGCATATGATTACCATAAATATATACATACATAAATTATAGGTAAGGAGAAATCATATTCGAATTAAGCCCAGTGGTATGAGGTACATATACAGTCGCCGGCCATATTATTAATATCACATGTACAGTATGTACAAATATATACATGTGTAAGTATATACATATAAATAAAAGATAAATGTGAAAACAGCTTTACTCAGATTTTAATGTAAAGGGACAGATGTTTTGAGAGAGAACCAGTTATTGGCGCAATTTCGCTTAACTAAAAACAGGAAACATTGTTTACTTCTTTATAGTTTTGAAATTAACTATTTTGGTTACAAATAAATAAATAAATGAAAGTAAACGGAAAATTGCCTCAGATGCATAAAAAACATTGGCACAGATTTTTTGAATCATAGGTTATCGGTATGATTGGACCGATACTAAATTACTACTCCATAATTCGGTCCCCTCTTTCATAATCACTTATAAGCAAGATTGAAAAAAAAAACAATATAAGCTATGCAAATATATTGTTTATCGTAAAGTAGCGTCAAACATCGACGAAGCGTCCTCTTTAGATTAGCAGACTATGTCCGGCAGAGAGTTAAAATTAAGGAACTTGGATTTGGTTTTAAGAACACAAAGCCGTGTCTGAAGAAGTGAAGATTACTTGATACTGTATATTCTCAGAAAAATATGTGTGCAATGATCAAGAAACAGGTTAGCCTAGTTAATAATTATTAATATGAACTTGATTTTTTCGATATTTTACAAAAGTTATTTTTGAAGAATACAAAAAAACTTGTACTACAAATTTCAACTAATGTTATTAATTACTATTTTACTTTAAACTAATTGTCATTTTTTTAAATATTCAAAATAGTAATGTAAATATTAATTGGCCTTTTTTTTGAAAAGAAATGAAGAAATCAAAAGTTTTAGAGTCGAATCTGACTGTCGTCAAACCTAGTCGTTTTGAGTCTCAGGGCGTGCTTTAATTATTTTTACAATTAACGTAATAAAAAATACTATAATAAACACAGCTTTATCGACCTGTGATCAAAAGAGCATTATTTTAAAGGTCCAAAGTTTCAGTGTTCAGTTTTTACTGCTCTCCGAAAGAGGTTAAATTTAAGTTTTTTTATTACTCATAAATGCAAAAATATATATCGCTTAATAAATTCCGGCTTCATGGATTTTATACTACCTATGTATAAACGTTTACGTAGCAATGGACAAGCTTTTAGAGGGTATTCTAAGAATGTGAGGCATTACGTATGATTTAAAACAGTCAATTAGTGTGTGAGATATATTATTTTACCTTACAGTGAGAGGTACCATTTCATAGTAAAATTTTCTACCGACTACAAGCGCGAGCCGTTATATGAGTGATTGTGGTTGTTAACCAAGTTTTGAAGAAAAAAAATATTTTTCGAGTTATACGCGATCTACGACGGCCGAAAGGTCGGCCACTACTTCAAAAATTGACAAAAAAAACTTGATTTTCTTTATTTTTCCTTCAGGCATAAGGGCATATAAAGTTTTGGTTATTATATACGGTTATTTTTATAGTTTTGTTCACCTAGTTAGATAAAGGGTTATATATATATGTATATATTTATTATATAAATGATGAGGATGACCCGACGAGTTGAACTCCTAGTGACAGTCTGGGTGTCCGTTTGTTTAAGCGATAACTTGAGTAAAAATTGAGATATCTTAATGAAACTTGGTTGGTTCGTTTTTAAATAAGTGAGGACGAGTTCATAGATGGGCGTAATCACATCACTGCCCCGTCCACAAAACGCCATTGATTGAAAACTTATAAATTGCCATAACTAAGCCGCAAATTTAGATACAAATCCGTAATTTGGTACAACGAATCGCAATAACGTGGGACACTTGAGATTTGAAAATTTTTTAAAAGTGGACGTGGCCCTGCCCTCTAATAGGTGTAATGTATACATCTCCAAAACTATTCAAGCTATATCACTCAAGTTTGCACGTGACATATCATTTTAACACCTCCCACCGTTTTGTTAAAAACGACTAAAACTGCGATAAATCAATACCGAAATGTGTCAAATGAGGCATTAAATTTTACATTAGAGATGACACAAAACGGTTTTATAGGAACAGGTGTCAAAATTGGACAATGGGAGTGGCCCCACCCAAATTTAGGTGAGATCACACACTTCCGAACCTACTACACCAAATTTAACCAAATTTGATACATAGGATTACTTTGACATTCCCATATCAAGGTGTGAAAATGGGCGAAATTGAACTACTCTGGATAAAACTTTGCACGAATAGTGCCTTTGAGGTACGCCTCCTTATTAACAAAATTTTTCAAAATTGGAGCATTACTATTCAAGTCCCCAGATACCGGTAAAGTGGACCGCAGAGCCGAAAATTTTGGTCAACCTGTGAGATATATAATTGAAATTCAGGGAAAACGTTGTTTTAGTAATAATATATCCTTTTGTCAATGGGTTGAATCGGATCAATACTTCCCTTAGCCCCTATATACCTAATATATTTTCGATCATCCAGTTGACTTTATAACACATATGTATGTATGTATATCGCTCAATGTGCTAGTCATTTAATGAAATTCAGAGGGCGTGTTTATTTAATAATAGTGCATCTTTGTGCCTAAAATGAATAAAATTGGGCGAAAACTTGCCTTTATACCTATATGTTTATATTTATACATATATTTATAAAATTGCTTGAAAATAAGTTCTCAAGAGCTTGAAATGTTCGGTTACGCCTGAACTCAGCCCTTCCTTACTTGTTAATGCATAGCTTCTTTATTTCGATGGGTTCATTCGTTGCTCTGCGATTTATGTTTAGAATTGTACCGAGTTTAGTTTTCCAAAACATGTCTAACCAGCTACCATAAATAGTTTAGTAAATGTCAATGGTATTCACTGTTATACACCGACAGTATAGATTGCGCATACTACAAGTATATTAAAGTTCTTCCTATTATTAGCTGTGTCAGCTTATTTATGCATTTCGATTATATACCCTTAAAGATTGGAGCTCGGCTAAAAAAAAGACTGTTGATTATTATACTTTTACGACTTTTATTTTTGATTTTAAATATGCTATGCAAGTACATTTGTATATACTCATTACATAATATGTAATAGTATGTGTTACAATTAGTCTCTAAGGAACAGTGGCGGTAGAACAGAATTTCACTAGCATATATTCATTTAATAAAGACACGCTATAATGGCCTTTTCTCAAGTTACTTGCAAGCACACTTTTGCACTTACATACGTATAATGTGGATTTGCATGTATTAATAAACCTTCATATGAACGTATTTATACTTGTATATGCACACGAGCGTAACGGGCTATTTAATTACCTGCATATACATAAGTATATTTATAAGTATATTATGTAATGTTTATAAAATTCTTACACATATATTTGTATGTATTGTAATTGTAAATACATTTACACCAATACACGCACATTCTTACACATTTATGTATTTCTTATGGGTAACAGCTTATAAGCTTATTTTCTTGTATAAACTTATTTGTTTGTTTTAATTTTTGCACAAAATGTTAACATTGCCATTAGACTTTTTGAATATTCTTAATATAACTTTTATTTCCATTTAAGTTACTGGAATAACATTTACAATTATTGTGCTATTTTGGTGTACACGTGTAGTCGTTTGGTTAAGTGTACAAAAATTATGCTAATACCTATAGACTTACATACCTACAAATGTATATTAGTGTGCTGCGTGTAAAGGGTGTGTATTAAAATCGTTATTTTACTTCACCAACTATCGTTTTTAATTAAAAATGTTTTGTTTTATTTCTTTAATTTGTGTATTTATTTTTGTAAATTTTGTCTGTATAAAAGAATCAAAATACCCACGCATTGAAACAAAGCAAATGGTTTGTTGTAAACGAAATGCAGACCAAAAAAGTAAAAATATAAATTATTATACATATGAATTTCTACAAGAAAATAAAACATTTTGTATTAAAAATATAACACAAAGAGCTTTTTGTTAATTGCGTTCGTGAGCTGCCGTATAAATTGAAATCAAATCCACTCAGAGAAATATTTTTCGCCACCTAAAATGCAAAACAACGTATCATCAAATAATTCCAAATTGAAGCTTTTATTGATTACGATCTACTATGTCATCTTACATATAGATATACATATGTATGTATGAACAACATTTTAAGCTTCTCCTATCAGATATAACTAAGTTATAACCAAAACTTAAATTTTGTTCCAATCTGTGGTGTACTAGTTAAAGCAAAGAAAAGAGTCAAGTTTTAACCGTTCTTAGAAATATTATGACAAAAAATTAAGGATTGTAATGAAAATATTGCCTGCTTTTGTACCTTGTAAGGGTTGATGGATATTTAGGAGGTTTTGAGTTACCTCTGTAACCGAGCAAACGCAGTTTAAAAATGTATAAAATGAAAGTTATTAGAAGTTAAGCGTTTTTTCAATTGTATATTGTGTTAAAAATTTATAATGTATTGGAAATGTACATACATTATATTGGATAATTATAAAATATATAATTTTATACTCTCGCAACATGTTGCGAAAGTTGAACTAACGGTTACTTGCAAAATTTAAAAACTGTCATGTTAGAAATAGAACTACATATGTATTATATATGCATAAGTCCTAGTGTAAAAATTTTACAATGGGTGTGGCACCGCCCACTTTCAGGTGAAATTTAATATCTCAAAAACTTTTTTACCAATTACAATCAAATTTTGTGCATAACATTATCTTAACATTTTTACACTATGAAAACAGGACTACAACCAGGCCTATATCCAATATAATACAATTTAATCTCTTTTTCATTCTTTCACATTGCAGTATATAAGTCAAGCACACTGAAGACATCGGAACAGAACTTTGCACAAATAGTGCCTTCAAGATATACCCTCTCTTACTCAGATTAAAATTTTCAAGCCACTTGGTAGCGCATATGTAGTCTTTAGGGCCTATGTCTGATTTTATACCGAAAATATGGGTAAATCTTTAAAATATATTATTGAAATTTAGTGAGAATGCTAATAATGTGCCTTGTGTTGAAAGTGGGTAATATTGGGTCAATAGTTCTACCGTAAATATGAGTGAATATGTGACTTAGCTAATTCTTCTATGACAATTGCGTCGACAATTATATAGTGATTTTCGACTTTATAGTTGACTTTAAACAGTTTATTTAGGTCTATATATGCAACTACT